CTAAGATTAAATCCTATGGGTTCTGTCGCATGAGTTTTGTCCTATGGATTTAGTCTTATGAGTTCTGTCGCATGGATTTGGTCCTATGGATTTAGTCCTAAGAATTAAATCCCATGGGTTCTGTTGCATGAATTTAGTCCTATGGATTGGACCTATGGATTTTGTTCCATGGACTTCGCCTATGAATTTAGTCTTATGAATTAAATCTTATGGGTTCTGTCGCATGAATTTTGTCCTATGGATTTAGTCTTATGAGTTTTGTCGCATGGATTTGGTCCTATGGATTTAGTCCTATGAATTGGGCCCATAGATTTAGTTCTATGGATTGGGCCTATGGACTTAGTCCCATGAATTACATCCTATGGATTCTGCCGCATGGATTCTGTCCTATGGGTTTGGCGTCCCCAAATCCGGCCTGCCTACATTTGATCCAGCCCAAATTAGGTCTCAGGTTCAATTACCCATATTTGGCCTCCCTATACTCCGTTACCCACATCCGGTCGCCCCGATACTCGATCTACCCGAGCCTTGGCACTTTTCAAAAACCCACGTCTTTGAATCTGGCCACCACGGATTACAATGCCCCAGCCCTAAAATGACCACGCCCTAAAATGACCGCGCCCTAAAATGCCACGCCCTGGAATGGCCGCGGCCCGCGCGCACCCGTGCCTCCCCGATCAACATCTGGACACTTGTGCCTCGTCAACCAACAAAACACCCCCTCCCCCCGCCGTGTTCTTGCCGCTGCCCCCCTCCCCCACACACCCGCCAGCATGTCGGCGCTCCCCTCGTCGCGCAAAACACACAGCGAAAAACACAAGCAGATCTTCCGCCAGCTCCTCAAGGAGTCGCCCAACAAAAGCTGTGTCGACTGCAAGTCCGCCCAGCACCCGCGCTGGGCCTCCTGGAACTTGGGCTGTTTCATCTGCATCCGCTGCTCCGGCATCCACCGCTCCATGGGCACGCACATCTCGCGCGTCAAGTCCGTGGACTTGGACGTGTGGACCGACGAGCAGGTCGAGTCCATGATCAAGTGGGGCAACGAGAAGTGCAATCTCTTCTGGGAGGCCCGCTTGCCCGCGCACTACGTGCCGGACCCCCTGAAGATCGAGAACTTCATCCGCACCAAGTACGACATGAAGAAGTGGGCCGCGCTGCCGAACGTCCCGGACCCCATGGCGCTCCCGGCGGGCCGCGCGGCAGGACTGGCGCCGGGCAAACAGGCGGGCCCTGACCCGGCGGCCCCGGCCCCGCGTGCGGCCGAGCCGCCGGCGGCGTCCTTGCGCCAGCCCAGCCTCGCGTCCGTGTCGGCGCCGTCGCTTTTGGACGACGACTTCGGCGCGTTTGCGTCGTCTGCTCCGCCCGCGCCCATCCCCTCGGCGGGCGGCCAGCCCACGCTTGCCACGGCCCCCGGCTTCTCGCCCCGCGGGCCTGTGCGGGCCAGCACCACCCACTTTGCATCTGCGCCGCAGCCCGCGCCGCGTGCGCTGGACCCGAGGTCCGACTTGAAGAAGTCCATCTTGTCGCTCTACTCGTCGCCGGCCTCCTCCTCGTCCAGCGTCTACCAGCACCAGCACCAGCACCAGCAGCACACGACATACAGCAGCCCCGCTGGGTCGCTGTCGCCGCTTCCGCGCGCGCTGCCAGCCCAAACCCCGCCGGCACAGCCGGTGGCCGGGCTTTCTGACTCGCTCGTGGGGTTGAAGATCGGCCCCGAGCCGGCGGCTGGGAAGACGCCCTCTGTGTCCGCGGGCGCGCCCAGCCCGCTGCCGCGGTTCCACACGGCGACCCCCGCTAAGACGCGCACGGCCGTGCCCGCGGCCCCGTCGCAATGGGCCAACGAATGGAACGATGCCCCGGGCGCTGCTGGCCCGTGGACGCCTGCCCCCGCGTTCAACGGCTCCCGCGCAGGCTCCTCGGTCTTGGGCGCCGGGTTCGCGGGCACCTTCGCGCACGCCGGCCCCGGGGCTTCCGCTCCGGCTGGCCTGAAAAGCGCGGCCACTACAGACTTAGACGACGATTTGTTCAAAAACGTGTGGGACTAGCGCAAGGGCTCGGCGCGGTCTATAGTGTCAATGAATGAGTACTTGCAGAGACAATGCTATACACTGGTCAGTGGCCGCCGGTGGTGGGCAAGCCCACGTAGACCTTGAACGAGTCGTAGATCAACCACTGGAACCCGGTCAACGTTCCGATCATGACAATGCGCATGGGCAACCCGTTCCAGAGCCCGCCAAACCCGATCGTGCCGTAGATGCGCTGCACGGCCTGGCCCAAGCCCTCGCCGGCCTTCTTGTCCGTGTTCACCTTCGACACCATGACGTCCGCAGGATGCGACACCACCGCACAGAATATCCCGGCAATGTAGCCCCCCATGAAAGACACCCCTGTTTGCTGCAACGGCGTGTATGCCGACGCGGGCTTGCCAAGGGAGGCGTAGATCTGCTCCACGGTCTTCTCGAAGGATGCGAACTTGACCATGGTGTACGGGATCTGGCGCGCCCAGAGCGGGCCTATGCCTTTATAGAGCCCGGCAACGCCCTCGCGGGCGGTGATCTTCGACCACCCATCCACCACCGACGACGCGTACGGCGGAATCGTCGTTTGCGTCTTCACCTTGATGGTCTCCAACGGACACAACGCAAGATCGGCCAAAAACTCCGCCGAAGCCGCGGCCCCCAAGTACACCCCGGTCTTGTACTTGGATGCGTTCTCCGGCCCCACCGCGTCCGAGTACGTCTTCTTGAAGTACTCATAGAAGCCGTACTTCCCTGCTCCCTGGAGCGCGTATCCGACGAAAGTCGCGCCCACTCCCGTGAACACAGAGTCCCCGCTTGTTTTCAAAATCGTCCTCCATGCCTGGACGTTCGACTTGTAGAGGCTCGAGTCGACCTGGCGACGGCACTTTACCAAATCTAGCGGAGTGACTGCAGAATGCGTGGGGCCGCATGCAATGATTCCGCCAAGGGTGCAGGCAGCATAGTATTCTTTGGAGAAAAGCGTGATGCCGTCTTCTCGGGGCGCCGTCATGGTATGACTGAATGTGTGATTTCTTCGCGGTCCGTATTCCGGGCGCTACATCGACGGCACGGGCGTTTTTGGCTTTTATATAGATTGCCTGTTCCACGCAGCAATCTCCAGATGAGCCTGCACTCTGCATAGGACTTGCGTGAGACGGCCCGCAACCGAGCCTTAAGCTACCGTGGGCCGACAAGCGCAGTCTTCTTAGTTTTTCCCCATCAGGTGCCTAGATCAGCTGAGTCTTTATGCCTTTTCACTTCAGGCGACTGGCGGTTTGCTAAGAAGGCAAGTCTGCCGGAATCGGCCACTTGCAGGGAGACGCCTGGGATGACTTGACATTTGGCGTATCTATAGACAGGCCTGTATGGTGCAGTTCATGGCACTGATTTCTATGTGCGCACATCTGCTCCGTGGGTATCCGAGCGCAGACCGGGCCGGTCCATTCTTCGCCTAGCGCTATATCCTGGATCCCCAAGAAAAAACACTTGGCAAAATTGATCATCAGGCATTCTGTCTCAGTTGTTTTCTCATCCAGAAACGAGACCTCCGAAATGAACCACTCCGCTTTTGGACCCTGGTATGCCTATTCCGATGGCTCCAGCCAAATAGCCGAGCGCGGCCGGCCGCAGCCAGTGCGGAAATTAACTGAGCGGAGCCATTGGTGCAAATAAACCAGGCCCTTCTACAGGTATGAACAAGGCGTCCACACGCCGAAGAACCAGTACTATTTTGTGGGGATTCCCCGTGAATTAATGTCGTTTTCCAGCCTGCTGTTTGTCTGGCTTTTTTCACGGCCCCGACTCATCGTAGATGCGTGGTGAAAACACCTTAGATAAGCAGAACACTCCGCACACGAGCAGGAATCCCATCCCATTTGATGTACCGCCACCACCACGAGAAGAATCCATGGCCACATCCACAGCTCCGTTGCGTAGCTCGATATTCTCGAAGTCCAAATTTAAATTGCCCATAATCTTGTATCCTTTCCGGAAATCCCCGCACACTCAACTGCAAAGCTCGTGCCGAAGACCCCCGGCTTCGCACCTGTGCCTCCCCGAGTATGGATCTGGTGAAAGATTCGAGACAGTCCACCACCAGCCTGACAAATCACCACTCCTGGGTATTCTTTCTGGGCACGCTTCTTCAAACCAGCCGTTGCGATTATATGATGTGCCCATATTAGAGACCACTTGCCATCTCCACATATCTGCCCATCGCATCGGTTTCCATTATTCTTGCACTGACAGAATCTTCTCATCACTCATTTGACCCAGACGGATACTAAAAGCGACGCGGAAGACCACATCTCATTCGCCCCTTTCTCTCTCCTTGCCCATATTTCATATCACATATATTCACACATGGCCGGTGCCAGTGACCCCGAAAAAACGCCGCCTCTCCGGCGGCTTGCCCAGGACTTCTCCGATGTTGTACATGGCGAAGACATGGAGTTCAGGGAAGAAAACACCCCGAATTTCCCCGTGGTGAAGCGCTTCGGGCTCATCGGCAAGATCTTGCTGCCCCAAATGTTCTCGACGTTTTCGGAATCCCAGCTCATCACCATTGCCGGCGCCGCATCCGGCTTTATATCCGGCGTGTTTGTGTGTCCGCTTGACGTCGTGAAAACACGCTTCCAGGCGGCAAGCCTGCTGTACAAATACTCCGGGTTTTTGCAAGCATTCACCTCCATATTGCGTGACGAGGGCCTCCGAGGCCTTTACCGAGGAGTCGTCCCGGTGACAATCGGCTACTTGCCCACATGGGCTATTTATTTCACCGTGTACGAAAAAGCAAAGAACCACTACCCGAGTTTTTTCCAGCGGCGCTTTGGCCTTGAAATCGACTGGCTCAATCATTTCGCCGCATCCATGACCGCGGGTGCGTGCTCGTCGTTCGTCGTGAATCCCATATGGGTCGTGAAAACCAGACTCATGGTGCAGACTGGCAAGGAAGACCTCCTTTACAAAGGCACCATCGACGCGTTCAAAAAAATGTACAAGAACGAAGGCATTCGTGTATTCTACAGTGGGCTTGTGCCCTCGCTTTTCGGGCTAGTGCATGTCGGCATCCATTTCCCAACGTATGAGGCAATGAAGAAACTTCTCGGTGTGAACAGGACAAAAGATCTTACGAATGATAACGAACACAAGCTCTGGCGCTTGCTTTTGGCGTCCTGTGGGTCCAAAATGATCGCGAGCACTGTGACATACCCACATGAGGTTCTACGAACACGCATGCAAATGCAAACACGCGAGGAGCGCAAGGCTTCAGGTAAGTTGGCTTCCGAATTCAAGAAAATTTTGCACAAGGCCGGGCCCAAGGGCTTCTACGCTGGCTATGTAACAAACCTTGCACGCACGCTTCCTGCCAGTGCAGTTACTCTTGTTAGTTTCGAATACTTCAAGACTTATTTATTGGAAATCACAGGGAAACTTTCGAGCTGAGACTTGGAACGATCACTCTTTAAGAACGCCTCGCTAAAGGAATGCATCACGCTGGAGCGAAACGAAACCACGGGCTTTGGGGACCTGGACAATCATTGACCCCTCTCATTCGAGGTCAAGTGGTACGCACGTACTGGCTGATCTTTGATTGTGAACATGCCTTGTTGCAAGGAGAATTCCGACAGTACATGTGGTTCTCTTTAAATGCAGAGTGGAAGGTGATTCATGTATCTTAGTTCTTCATCGACCCCATTCTGGGAATGTTCTCATGTTCTTCCTCACAAAAGAGAAAATTTTGCGGCTTGGCTCCTTTGGGTAAGCCACGTGTTATTTAAAAGAGCACGCCAAGATGTAGCCACAAATGACACAGATCGATTCAGGCATTTTCGAGAACATTGCTCCAGAAAATGATTATGGCATTTTTGACTATCTCACGACGTAAATAATCTAGCACACCACCACATCAGTTTCATAGACCAAATAGCTGACTTCACTAAATTAAGGAATTGACCCATAATATAGGCGAGAATGAGTAGGATTATTCACAGAACCCTAGCCGTCTTTTTTAGTATGCAATCCTGTCAAGTGTTGCTCTTAGGCCTTCGGCTTATGATTTTGCTCTGCAGAACCAAAGCTAGAAAGAAAAGAACAAAAGATTGTTTTCAGTAGTACCCATATACAATAGACAGCCAGCTTGATGCACGTGGTTGAGTGCGAGCAAATACACCATCTACCATCAACTTTAGAGCTTCGGGAAGTGGCGGAATATAAGCTCACTATGCAAAGCACAGCTCCCGGGTTGAATCATAATGCAGCTCAAGCTAGTCATCTTGGAAACAATTAATAAAATAACTATTCACTTTTGTGAGGATGCTTTTCACTAGCTTCTTATGTCTCCTCTGATGTCTTCAAATACCAAATACGCCCTTTTTGTATATCTTCCAAGGGAGCCGAGCCCTAAACATCACCTCTACCAATCCTCATCCGAAAGTTCATGTTGACTTCTTGATTTTGGCCTCAACCACGTCGATTTTGTCCTGTGGCGTCTGGTGCTTGTCGGTTCTAGTGCCCACCCGAATGTCACTCTGGATTCTAACAACCCCACTCTTGTGCAATACTTCGTGAAAGCTTCCAATGAGATCCATGACCTCGGACCAAGGACCTGCAATAGTTGTGCCCGCAGAATGTAAATTGCAATCCAAATGTGACGCACGGGCAAGTTGTGTAATCACAGCAACCTCGTCCAGCACAGAGGCCTTGGCTGTTCCAATTGGAATTAGGCACACATCAGCAAGACAATGAAGCGATACCATATTTTTATAAGAATGTATATGTCGTTTGTTCGCTGTGTTTGCTATACCAATATAGACGAACTCAGGAAGCGTATATTCGAGGCGCGGTATCTTGAGTCACATGGTTATCAATCGGGGCCATATATGCCGTATGCACTCGATCTCGAGGTTTAGGTCAGACGAAATGAAATGCCGTAAGCTGTTGACCTCTGGAAACGAAGCATGAATTTGTACCGCAAAGCCATTCTACGAAATTTTTCTTAGTGAGTCTTTTTGAATGTATTTCAGTAGAATTTATTCGGAGTATAAGAATGTGACAAAGACATTGGCAGATCCAAGCTGGACCACGAAGTTGCAAGTTCATTTCACTAATTAGTCTAAATATTTGCGGTATTGTGATTACAAAGGCTTCAATTGGACAAATGGTGTGACAACTGCACTAAGCTATGTAGAATGGGGAAATTTTGATGTTGTGGCCCGTCACTATATGCGAGCGTCAATTCGTATTGATATATTTCGCTGAATGAATGTGCCACAACGTCTACGTTGCAAGATTTATATTGATTCCCATCTGATTACTTATCAGAAATTACGTCAATGATTTCTAGGATAAGTCTTAAGTCGCTTCAACTCAGATGGCTAGATAGGACTTAAGAAGCTTACTTCTTGCGACTCGCCGCGTCTTCGAAAATCGTGGTGACGAGCCAATTTAATTTTTATTATGTTCTGTAAAGAGTTTTCGACAGGCTCCTTCACCTCAGAAGCTGCAAAAGAAAAACAAAAAGTTTTTTGTGTATAAATTTGACTAACGACTCAACTCTCTGTCTTTCCAAATTACTCGTCACAGTAATTGAGTTTTCATATATTGTTTTTGTAAAACACACCGACACAAAACAGGCCGGTCTAGTATAGTGGTAAGTACAGCTCGTTGTGGCCGAGCAGACCCAAGTTCGATTCCTGGGACCGGCAGTTATTTTTGCATTTTCAGATATCTGTTTGAGTCTGTTTTTTATAAGTTACTGTGGTCATGTCGGAAAATTTCCGACTGAAAAGTCAAAATGAGCCCCAGCAGGAGCGACAAAAAAAATCTAAGCTAGACATGCATTTCCTATGTTATCAACTCATATTTATTCCCAATTCCTTTCACACTTGAGCTGTACAATCCAGAACGGTTGCTTCAAGCAAAAACTAATAGATTCCAGGCGGACCAGACCGCGCTGCGCTGTTTAACCGGCAGTGACGGTGCTCTGGGAAACGGCATTCACCATAGATTGAGGGTGGCCCTGAACTGGGTTCTGACCAGCAGCAGCCATGTTGTTTTGCTGCAATCCGTGGGGCTTGACGCCAGGAACAGACTGCCTGTTTGGGTTGTTGGCGTTCTCCTTCAAAGCAATCAACTGCTTGGACCTGAAGCTCTCGTAGTGGGTCAAAGCGGTGGTTTCAACCAAGTCCTGCAAGTGGGTTCTGGTTAAGAAATCTCTTAAGAACACAAACTCGCACTGAGACACGTCCTCGATGTTGATGGCGCCCCACTTGGACTTGCGGCAACGAACCACCTCGCCGTTGATCTCGCTCTCGTGGTCCGAGCCAACAACAGCAAAAGGAATCAAAGACTTGATGTCTTCATTCAACTGCCTCTCGTCCTTGGACAAGTCCTCGCTGTCGTATGGGTAGATGTTCAAGTTGTGCTTGATGAAGTCATTCTGTAGCACTTTCTTTAAAGTGGCACGCTCGCTCAAAGTCAATGAGTCGCTCTTGGCAATGATGGGCACGACGTTGGCAATCTCCGACAAACGCTTCAATGCCTGCACGTCCAAGGCCTTCAATCCCGAGCCGCTGCTGGGCGGGATGAAGTACAAAATGCAGTGCACTCTCGAGTCCGGAATATGCTTTGGTCTCTGTGCACTCAACTCCTTGCGCAAGTACTGCGAGTGTTGCTCCTTGATGTACTTTACCAAGAGATCCCAGCACTTCTCGTTGTTGATCTGGTCTCCGAAGCCGGGGGTGTCGATAACATTGATGTTCAAGCGAACGTTGTTCTCCGCCAAAAGATGGGAATGCACCTTGATCTCCGTGGTTTTCTCTGCAGGCTCGTCAGCATTGTGGCGGCCCAGGGTAGTGGCCAACTGGGAAGAAAACAAGGTGTTTACCAAGGTGGTTTTGCCCATACCTGAGCGGCCCACGGCCATAACATTAAAGGCAAAGCCCTTTTTTAACAATCTGTTTTCGATCTGCGAAGTGATGGTGTCGAATCCCACATAGCTGCTGGGATGCGTGACACTGTCGTCGGCGGGAATGGACATTTTGCTTTTTTAAAATGTGGAGCAGTTGGGGTATGTAGTATTAAGATATGAGTCTGTGTTCACAAATATCTACAGCGAGGCTGATCCAGTGTTTGGTGCGCACACTACACGCAGTTGGCAGTGCCAGTCACGTGTGCCGGTGGGGGACGAGTGTTTTATAAGGCAGGCCACAGATTTGTTCAAATTCTGACGAGCTTTACTTTTCCACTACAAGGCCTATCTGGATGGCTTTTGGGAGGAAGCTCTGCTAGGGTGGGGGGAGAATTGTAGTTTTAGCAGGAACAAACTCATTATTGAACTCAGAATTGTTGAAAGTGAATTAAGGTTGAGGCTTGGTGTTTCGCACCCAAATTGAAGAAAGCCACGAGATCTGCAAATGATTGTTGTCTATGTATAAAATCTCTATTATTTTTTGTGTTTTTTCCTTCCGTTTTTTCCTTTAGGTTTTTTTCTGTAAATCTTTCTATTCTTGCTTTCTCCCATTATATCTATATAGAATCAATCGGTGTAGACGTCCCTGTCGAAATTGAACATGCCATATGCATGCTATTAGAAATCCTGGATTCAGCACATAGCGCTGCTTCCCACCACATCGCACTCAATCCTGGTACATGCTCCCTTGAAATTTTCAACATACGCAGAATGAAGTAGCCAAGAAAAAAAACGTCAGTGTTTTCAAAGGCAGAAAAGGGCCATCTCCGCCGCGCCCGTCGCCCAACGCATAAAAGAGTGGCCCAGACATGTCCAATACTCCGGCTTGGCCAGACACCCGTACACCCTCACATCAAGATCACCTCAAAGATTGAAGGTGAAAAAAAAAGAACGCGGACCAATATAACCACACATATTCAACATGTCCCTGGCACTCAGATTGGCGTCCTCGGCGCTCTACTCCCCACTCGCGGGTGTCAGCATATCAGTGGCCTTGCCCAGGATGCCCATGCTCCCTAGACTAGCTGACTTTTTGCCCAAGAAATGGGCAGAAACACCTGTAGTGTCGGTGGACCCAAGACTAGAGGAACTTGCCCGGCTCTTGGAGAAAAACAGTCAGCCGCCATTTATGATTGACAACGGCGCGATCTTGAAAGCTGCCCCCAAAAAGAAGCCCTCCTACAAGAGAACCAGAGAGAAGTTGTACTCGCCAGGAGACAAGCAGATCCAGCCATTGCACAACTTGCGTAGATGTGCTGCGTGCGGCCGTGTCAAGAGATCCCACTTCATGTGCATGCACTGTTTCGGCGAGATCCGGGCAATGTTGAAGCAGAAGAAGAAGGAGATTTTCGGCGAGCCAGCCAAGTACGAGCAGGAGTTGGACTCTATCGACAAGAAGATTATATACCCAGGCAAGTACTATACGCAGAAGGAATGGCGCATGGAGAAGAAGGAGTGGATTCCAAAGAGAGAGGAGCCTTTGATGTTCGACCCCTCCCAGGTGAAGAAGAAGAAGTAGCTGTGTACATAGACTCGGAAGACAGCACCGCACATTGGGCGCCTGTTGCTCAATAAAAGCAAATCCAAAAATGGGGTTTTCATGTGGGCGAGTCCGATGATTGAAGCTCGTGTCTCGTGGCTCCAGAACTAGAGAGGTCTAAGCGATGGAGTTGGGAAAGGTGCTACAGGAACTCGGTATTTGGACAACTTTAATTATCCCTTGTTTGGGGCTGGCTTCCTTAATTCTTTGTAGCCTAAGATGTCCAATCGCTCTATTGGCATGTCTTTTGTCTTGATGACTATGGAGGTTGCGAAGTCACATAAGCCCACTTTCGAATCATATACGAGGGAAAACATGAACAATCATAGTACAAACTTTTTTTATAGTCCCCTCGTGTTATTGACAACATGCATATCAAGAAGCAAAGGTCCTTATTTACCTCTGCCCGTATAGTTGGTCTCTTACATGGGTAGTCTCAGCTCATCTCTATCTCATCTTATCACCAAAATCGCGAGATGGTATGCACGCTTCACATTGCACCACCAAGTCAAAGCACATCAATTTGCAGCTAAACAATATGCCCGAGTCAGCAAAAAAAACCTATCGCGCCACTAACAGAAATGTATCCACACAGCCAACTGCGGCCAGACACCCTCTCAATGTGCGGCCGCTGGGGAACCTGTTTTTTGATGAGTTAGTGACCGGTCCCACGCGAGAAGAGCAGATGGGTGATTTTTCTGTTTTTCCCGAGGACCTTTTCATGGACATGGTGGGCTATGTGGATGATGCCGATTCTTTAAAGGCCTTGTCACATACCTCGCGTGTTTTGTACGCGTACTTGTACGATGAGGATCTCTGGAAGAAATACTATACGTCCAAGGCGCAGAAGGCAGAAAGGGCGGGGGAGCAAACCCCAGACCTTGTGTGGCGAGGCTCATGGCGCCTGAGTGTTTTGAAATTGCCCATGACGCAGCAGGCCGACTTGAAAATCCCGGGCAATCTTCTTTGTTCCGATCTTCTCTACCGCCCGTTCCAGTGTTCGCAGATTGACTACAACACGTTGTTTGCCAAGTTGATCCACGAGGAGGAAACATATCATTTGGACTCCTTGAAAAGCAGCTCGCCACTCCCGGTCCCTGGCGGCAGGATCCCACGGGTTCCGGAATCCCACATGTCTCAAGCAAGCTTCGACGAGTCATGGAACGGACGCCCATTTATTCTCACCAACCCCGATAGAAACAGGTGGCCTCGCTGGACCTTGCAGGATTTGCTCCACCGCTTTGCGGACGTGAAGTTCCGCCAAGAGGCCGTCAGGTGGCCGCTCTCACTATACTCGCAGTACTTGGCTTCCAACTGTGACGAGAGCCCTCTTTATTTGTTTGACTGCAACAGCATAGCCATGCAAACACTTCGCAAGGAGTACACTGTGCCCGCGATTTTCCAACCCGACCTCTTCACGAATTTTGGAAAGTGCCGACCCGACCATGCTTGGCTCATCATAGGCTCGCAGCGGTCAGGCTCCACCTTCCATAAAGATCCCAACTACACTTCTGCTTGGAACACGGCAATTGCCGGCAGGAAGATCTGGGTGATGTTTCCACCCGGAGTCTGTCCTCCGGGCGTTTCCACTGACGAAGAGGAGAGTGAAGTCACGTGTCCTGTCGGCATTGCCGAATGGGTTCTTTCTGGCTTTTTTAATGACGCAGCTAACCTGGCCGATGCTCTCATAGGTATTACTTTTCCTGGTGAGTGCATGTATGTTCCCAGCGGGTGGTGGCATACGGTCATCAACCTTGACGAAAGTATCGCGTTGACCCAGAACTTCGTACCCGATGTGAAATTAGGCAACGCTCTTCATTTCCTCAAAAACAAAGGCAAGCAAATCTCGGGATTCCGGCCACTTGAGGTGAGAAACGAGTGCAAAGCTATATTGGAAAGTCTTTCCCTTGACGAAAAGGAAGGCGCTGAAGACATTAGCGTCCTCACGAATTACTGCGAAGCATTTGACAAGAGGAATCTCAAAGACTTCATATTGAACGAAGATTGTGGTGAGATAATGGAGTCCGAGTTACCTCCTTTGCCTGTATTTGAACTCTTCAGGCTTCTTCTTTTGAAGGCAGGCAAGAAAGAGCAATTACAGAGAGGCATGATGGCGTTACAACGCAAAGAAAACGCTGAGCTACAGAAAGCTAAAGGCGTGAGCGAGAGATGGCAAAAGTTGACCGAGTCCTCTTCAACCTTTAGCTTTGGGTTTTCGGTTTCGGACAACGAGTCGGAGTAGAGATGTGGATCTCAAATCAGTACAAACACCAGTTTTGAGACGATCTACAGTTGACGTTTCTTTCAAAGAGTGAGAATCGATACTTTGTTCTTTTCGAAAAAGAGCCCAGAACTTGACTTGAGTAGTGTGTCTGCCAAAAGCTGGTAGCTTAGCGGCGAGGAGTTATTGTATATTCATTTTTGGTTGAATGTATTATTATAGGGCCTCTAGAGGAAATGAATAGTCCGTACCACTGCAAATTACAAAATATTCTAAAGTGATACCTCACCAGTGAACACTTGCAAACAAAGATCAAATCAAGATCCATTAGTTGGTTAAAGCACGAGTTATTTGCTATGCTAAATTATACGCTGTTTTCTTAAGCCTGTTGCTTTATGAGTAACCTATGAGACATGAACGAAGTGTCCAATTTTAAATTTGAAAAATACACAGAGAAGCTATGAGGTTGACCATTTGTGTTTTACGTCTAGATCCTCCATATTTCAGGTATTAATATTTTTTGATATACGAGACAAGGATATGTGTGAAAGAGACATAAGGATACATTTTGCTGCCTACGAGAATGCAAAAAAAAAAATCTGCATTATGGAACACATGTGTACCGATAGTATGTTCGTCTACAATCCGTTCTGCAAGCAAAGAATTTGAGTAATTTCAAAAAGCGAAAGCATACAAACACCCAGGAATAAGTCGACAAGATTTTCATCGCCGATACGTCTCCTGCGACAAAGAGCTTCTTGGTTAGTAAGTATGTGAGGCCCTGAGCTTCATGTGAGTCTTTGCATACCATGTTGAATCAAGCAGACAAAAATATTGCTATTCAACTAAAGTTGATCTACCGATAAGCTTTATTCGCCTTCAGCTTCGAGAGAAATCAGACTTGAAAAGAACACTGAAAGGCAACACATCATACAGATTCCGAAGAGAGACGACTTCACCAAATTTTGACAGATCTCGTCAGCTTGGGGCGAAATCGTAGTCTATGAGGGGGGAATCGAAAGAAAGCTCCTGCCATTATATACGAATTTAGTGGAAGCAATACTTACATGCGGAAGGCCTATGCGTGGACGGTCGCAACCAGCTGCAAACGGCAAATAAGTGATGACCTCTCCAAAATAAAAACAAAAGAATAAAGAGGATCTCGCTCGCGCAATCAAGGTTAATACTAAAAAAAGCCCGAGAATTGCAATTTATGATGAACTGCGCTGTGTTAAACGACACACCCGGCCAGTGGTGAAGAGACTATGCGCACGACAGACCTAATTGTTGACGATACATCAATTAATACCCACAGAAATCCAGATTTTACGCCCAAAATATCCTGGGTCCCTGGACTTAGAAATAACCAGACTCTGCTTCTGGTAACAATTTTGCAGACCTGATAATTTTTCTCGCATCTCCCAGCTGTCCTCAAAACAATCACCACCCACAGTATGGTGCCTGGTAGTCCGTAGGCCCTGGCTCCCAGATTCGCAGTGGCGCACATCCAAAAGATCACCCCACCAAAACTCGCACCAATGTCTCCACGCCACCCCATGTTCGGATCTATCATTTCTAGGATCCGCCACAAACCCTTCCCACGCACCAGAAACTTCACACAAACCGTAGCAATGGCCGCAGAAAAACCCTTGATTTTCGCCCCGCCCACCTACCAGTACGAAAAGGGCCAGTTGAACGAGGCTGACATCAACAGCAATCCGCTCACGCAATTCCACAAATGGTTCCATGAAGCACAGCAGACGTTGCCCGAGGGCCTGTCGGCGATTCCTGAAAGCGTTGTTTTTTCCACCGCCAGATTGCCGGAGGGCAGGATCTCTTCCAGAGTCGTGCTTCTTAAAGAACTCGACCCTCACGGGTTCATTGTGTATTCTAACTGGGGCACCAGCAAGAAATCGAAGGACTACAGCACCAACAAACACGCGTCGCTCACGTTCTTTTGGAGCCACATCCAGCGCCAGGTCCGCGTGGAGGGCGTCATGGAAAAAGTCACACGCGAGACTTCCGAGCGCTACTTCAAAACGAGGCCTCGCGGCCTGAAGATCGGTGCCTGGGCGTCTCCGCAATCCGAGGTGATCCAGTCGCGGGGCGAGTTGGACGTTTTGTACAAGTCGTACGAGGAGAAGTTTGCGGATTTGGCCGATGACGAGATTCCGTGCCCGGACTTCTGGGGCGGGGTCCGCATCGTGCCTTTGGAAATCGAGTTTTGGCAGGGCGGCGTCAGTAGATTGCACGACCGCCTCACTTTTACCAGGGAAAAGACTGATGGGGAGTGGGCGGTGAAACGTATCTCTCCATAGACCGACAGGACTTGTCGCTGGCAACGATAGATAGTTTGTATGTACATAGTCCCGGCGAGGCTAAACACTCGCCTCCGAACGAAAAGTGGACAGAAGATTTAACCACGTCATTATAAAAATAGTATGAGTCATATGGGCCAACCGGTGTCCATCAGAAATGCTCTATCTGTACATACGAGAATGCTCACAATGCGATGACTCCAGGATTGAAACGAGAAATCTGCCAGAAATACAGGGTGCCTGCTGGAGAAGTACTTCAAATTCGGAATCCTTCAGTTTCAATGGCTACACACGAACTTCAAAACTCACACAGAAGAAGAGCCATCCCGAATTTCGAAATACATGTCAATTATATATTTTCAGATTCAGAGCTCTTGATTCCCAGCGACTTCCCTTGGGAATTTAAATATGGACACAGCACACCTATATATTCCCCGCGCGGATCGTCTAGAACTTTTGGATCGTCTTGAAGAAGCTGGACCCCTGGATCTTCGCAATTTCCAACTCCAAGGTAGAAGGGGTTCTAGAGCTGTCAACGCCTGCATACGTGCCTGCTCCGAATGGCGAGCCCCCATGGACCTCCTCCATGTTAGTGAGTTGACCAAATGCATTGGCGTATCCTAAAGGCACGTAAATCATTCCATGATGGACAACCACAGACAATGCGTTGATAATTGTGGTTTCCTGACCGCCCCCAGGGGTGCCGGTAGAAACAAAAAATCCAGCAGGCTTGCCGTGCAAAGCACCAGAAGCCCACAAACCACCGGTGGAGTCCCAGAAGGTCTTCCATTGTGCAGGATAGTTTCCGAATCTGGTAGGAACACCGAACAAGAAGGCGTCGTACAGGGTCAATGTGTCCAAAGTGGCAATTGGGTAGTCTGGTTTGGATGGGGCATGCATCTTGGTCAAAATTTCATCCGACAAAGTTTCAGCAATCTGATAAATATCAGCTTTTCCACCCGCAATCTCGACACCCTTCTTAACGGACTCTGCCATTGTGGCGACATGGCGGTACAAGGAATATGTGATGATAGCAACTTTTGGAGCCATAGTGTGGATGATTCTTGATACGTATTTTAAGGGGCGGTCAGAAGAGCGGGTAATATGGGCGACATTTATACCCACATCCCCATATGCGCAGAATGTGTATCATCGAAAATAAGCCACGAAATACGGAGAGAAGCACTTTCTTTTTTGGCCTGTGACGAAAGATTAGTCAAATATCTGGCAGTGTGTGCAGAACGCCCGTGAGAGAATCGCATTCATTCTGCATAAAGATATTTACTAATAATGACAAATCGTCTGCCGCGGTGGGTTCCAGCAACAAAGCTGCAGGTCATCCAGATCCATGACAAACCTTGACTGGCCATGACTAAACTTGTTGCACTTGCATCTACTGTTTCTTTTTGGCTAACATAGAACAGGTTGTGGTGAAGGCGGAACAGACCAGAAATTCGAAAGTAGTCTCACTTTTTAAATCCGTTTCTTCCTGTATTCTCAGGTTTTGTTCCAGTCTAATATATCTTTTGCGAAATGAAGGTGGCTATCCTTTACTACTCCACATATGGCCACATAGTGTCCATGGCTGAAGCCGTCAAAATAGGTGTCGAGGAATCCAGCAAAGCTTCGGAGGTCACAATTTTTCTGGTTCCGGAAACACTTTCTCAAGAAGTCTTGGACAAGATGCATGCTACTCCAAACGCCGGCTACCCTATTGCTACGCAAAGAACTTTAGTTGACTATGACGCTTTTGTTTTTGGATATCCCACCAGATTTGGAACCTTGCCGGCACAGTTGACCGAGTACTTGGGTCAGACTGGTGGTTTATGGGCCGAGGGTGCCTTGCATGGCAAACCGGTGGCTTTATTTACCGCGGTTTCTTCTGCTTCGGGTGGCCAAGAAATCACCTTGAGGAATTTCCTCTCATATGTGGCCCACCACGGTTTGATTTACATTCCATTAGGATACGGCCCCGCATTCAAAGACTTGACCAATATGGATGAGGTCCATGGGGGCTCTCCGTATGGGGCTGCCACTTTTGCCGGCATAGATGGGTCTAGACGACCATCAGATTTAGAGAAAAGAATTGCTCACATTCAGGGAGAGACATTTGCCTTGAGTGCATCAAGGTTTGTTGTTTCTGATCCGGCTTCTGAACCCGCTGCCAAGACTGCCGAACCGGCTGAAGCCTTGGAAAAGGCCACAGAAGTGCATAGAGAAAAGTCTACTGATAGACCCGTGCAGAAGACGAGAGCCGCTCAGAGCAAGCTTACAGTTCAACACAAGGAAAAGACAGGGTGTGCAAAGTGCACCATCATGTAAATGCCATTGTAGTAAATGGAACCAGTCATCAAAATCAAGTTTGGAGGTTGGTCACAAGACAGGATATGGCCACCTTTTTGTGTATACCATTGCTTAGTTAGTATAGGGCCACTGTAACATTTATAAATGCAAAGAAACATACCGGAAAAGCGGACAGGCCCCCCAAAGTTGCACTATCTTGCCTCTCAATGCTAGCCTGATACATAAGTAAGCCCGTTTCTCCCACAGATTATCCCGTCATGGCCGCACACTGAAAGCACAGTCCTCTTCAACAAACCGCAAGCATGGGACTTTGGTCTACCCTTAAAGAGTAGCCTGAATTGGACCGTGCAAAAACACCCGAAAGGAGGATTGACCCAAGTACACGCGGCCTTTAGTGAGGCCGACGAAACCAAGAGAAATAACACGCCCGCATATCAGCTTTCGAGGCCCATTCTGGGAACGGTCCGAGATTTAATTAAACAAAAGCATCAAAAGCAAATAGAAACTCACGCAGCCCAAAGGGTTAGTTGGGGCCGCGCACTCTCTTCCCACCGAACGGGTATTGTGAATTTGCACCACTTTGAAGCGAAAGACGTTGGATCAGAGGTGTCGATGAGAAAAGAGTACTCTAATCGAGGCGATTCCAATTCAAAGCACACCAATATCCCAGTGGCAGAACAGTTTTAACATATCTTCACGCGCCGGAGCCAGTGAGCTGCTTTTCCCTGAAAAAAACAGAGAAGAAATATGTTCTTTTTCGTAAACAGAACTCACTGTTTCTAATGAAGGATGTTCGCTTCTAGCTAAGAAAGAAACCAACAAGAAAAAACATGTTCTGCCAGCAGAACGCGGGCGCACAAAACCCAGGAAGAATCTTCAAGGGTGACTCGTCACCAAACAGTCTGACATGGCACAAATCCGGGACCAGCTGTTTTATCTTAGGGATGTACTGTTTGATAACAATATGATGCTGGCGGCATATCAGGGTCTCTTGGCGATGAATCTGACGATTCTGGCCATTGGCACTTCCGGAAGAGGCACCAGGTTCGCGTGCAGTTTGAGCGAAATACTCACTGGGTATCGAGTGCAAAGAGTTATCACCAGACGAAATGTTCTACGGAAGTGGAGACGGAGCTCTGTATTTCCAAGGCTAAAAACACAATGTGCAAGCGTACCTGTGAGGTAACGTGCAAGTGATTGTAAGAGCCAGCCCGAAGAAAAAAAAACACGTTGCAATGCGTGGAAATTTCGACGATTTAATAGAGGACGGTGTGCGCTCGTGTATGCACGCCCTTTCCTAATGTAGCGATTTAGAACTCGTCTCAAGACCTACGTAGGGTGTTGAGAAAAGTCTCAAAAGGCTGTAATCTACATAGATTGTAGTTAAAAGGGCTTTTGAATTTTATTCAAGCTAAAGCTATCTAGACTTATGGCATTGAGTTTTCTGTTCCTTTGGACTATCACCCTTTTTTGGGCTAAAAATCCATTCAGCATGGGGTCCATCTTCGAGATTGACAATCACTTTGCTCAGTCAAGTTTAACCTATCCTACCATCAACCTCATGCTTTCAAAAAAAGCAATGGCGACATAAATACTCCTGAATTGGTCGGCGGATCAGTTCATTTTCTTTTCTCAAATTGCGGCGATACGTCACTGGCCTCCAAAAACAACATGCTGTATAAAAAAGACCCGGCTCGGAACGTAATTGATTTTTGGTCCTCAGTCCAATTTGAGAAACGAGAAAATCAATAATCTGTGAATAGTTTTCATTGCATGGAGTCGTCGTCTTTCCTGGGGTGTCTTGAACCAATTGTCTCCTCCGTAATCTGAACAAATACAACGAGATATGATATAACGTGTTGCTTTCAGATCAGTTGGGTGCATAAAAAGTGTCTTTCTTCTCCAACTAAAATATCAATCTAACAAACCGACGTGTTGTGTTTCAAGCAATATTATATTGTGGACTTACAAACAGAAAATTAATCTTCAGTATGACGACAAGGAGCTCCTTCGGACAGTGATTATTTTTTTTGGTCGAATCAAAATTCAACGAATTTCGAATTTGTAAAAAGCCACAAGTTCCCATAGCAACACGACTTTTCTGGAAGAGCATGTGAAATAAAAGCCAGGCTTGTTGAGCTTATTAGACCAGGCACGATTCACAGTCACTATCCCAAGTCTTGATGTAGTCAATGCCCTCTACACATTGAGGTACGGTCAACTGATCACTGCCCACAAGCTCATAAAGACCCTTGCCGATGTTGACAGTTTTCTCGAAGCTGTCGTGCTCTAAGATTAAGCCCTTGTTGTTGCGCTTCTCTGAGAAGTCAAGTAATCTTTCATGAAGCTCTTCTTCAGTCTCTTTACCTTGACCGGCAGCCAAAGCCCAATCAAGCGAGTCGAAGTCCCAAAGCACGGCCTGCATCCCAAAATGGTGAAGAATACTTCTGATTCTGTTATCAATGCCACCGTAAGGTGGCCTGAACCATTTGGGAAGATGGTGCTGGGTTGCATTCATGGCCCAGACCGACCACTCGATTTGAGCAATGATCTCTTCATTTGTGAGAGAGGGGAGAAACTTGTGCGACCAGGTATGAGAGGCCATGATATGGCCTTTGTTGGCTGTTTTTCTGTACACATGTGGAAATCTTACCACGTTGATCCCGATGGTAAAGAATGTCACAGGTGTCTCGAGCTTATCGATTAAATCCAAAGTGAAGGGGGAAGGCCCGTCATCGAACGTTTGGCTAAGAACAGGGCAAGTCACAACATCCTCTTCGGTGGCGCAAGCCCAGCAGTCGAAAGAGCATACATCGGCGGTATTTTCAATGGACTGGCAGCTTCCTTGGGTGTGAACCCAACTTTCCAGTTCCCCGGGGATCACCGAGAAATCCACGAAATCCAACGGGATATATGGGGGATCCACACCCGGCCAGTTTGAAAGCCCAGTGAGCTCCGATAGCCATTCTGGAAAGGGAAGAGGCTGCTCGAGAGCAAAGGCTTCTGGGGTGTCCAAGGGCTTGAAAGCCTTGACTTCTTCAGTCACGATATACGCACTCGTGATGCAAAGATAGAGGAAGAAAATCATAGCTGATTCCTGAATAATACGTTTCTGCTGTCAAAATGTACCAGTTTTAGTTGGAAATTGGTGTCAATATGAGTGGATCAGAAGAAGAATGGGGTGGATTTGGGTGCAAAAAGAGCGGATGCGCTGCGAACAAGCATAGTCGTGGGCAAAGCCATAAGCGTGGAGTGGTGCCAACTTTTTCGAAGGGCTAAAATGCAAAATCGCGAATTAAATTGGAAGATGGAAAATAGTTGACTGAAGCAAGGAAGCGAGGAAACACTTCCAGGATATGGGCATGAGCCGCAAGCGAAAGCCCAAACAAACTGGAGCAAACACACTATTCCCACAACAGAAGAAAAAAAAAAAAAACAGAAGGGCTTACAAAGCATACTTGTTGCGTTTCTGAAAAGATGCTAATGAGATCGATCATCTTTAAAATGACGGAGCAACGCAACAAGACAGCCTATTCAGGTGGGTCTGGCCATTTATTAAGGCGCGTCACGTGACGTGTCACCACCAATAAAGCGACCTGTATTCTTATTCACAGTGATAATGAAAAAAAGACCGAGGTTCTAAGGCGCCCGCCCTTAGCGGTCATCCAGTTCCAGATTGCAGCTTTCTGAGACGCGCCGCTGTATTCTCGACTCTAGCAACTTTTGCTCGCCCGCCATTACCTCAGCGATCTGCGCCATGGACAAATCGCGGAACTCGCTCCGAGGCTCCATGCCCCACGCAGGCTGAAGATCGGCTACAAGGCTTGGATTTTCGGCCCACGATGGATGCGTTTCACTTAGCCGCCTCAATTGACTCAAAACCGCAGCCTCCTGGCGGCGCTCCAAAAAATCAAGAGTCTGTCCGAACGGGTATGACTGGGGTTTATTGTTGGTTGTATCTATCTGCAGTGCGGCCTGACTCGTGGGCATTGTGCGGCGCTCCATTCTGAACAATGGCTTCGTTATAAACAGATTACAACGGACCGTGTCGTGAGTTTTAAAAGGCAAAAAAAAACAGGCCAGATACGTCAAAGGATTTTTTTGATCAAGGACCCTGGATTTTGGGAAGACTCAACCTGGACGATTTTTGCTGCTGGGTTCGCTGCCCTTATCACTGGTTATGGGTCTATATATATGAAGCTGGGCTGTGGCAGGCGTGACAGACAGGAGTGTTGCTAGGAGACTCTAGATAAGCAATCTTGATGTGCTGCACCAAAGCCCCCTTGGATGTGTGCGTTGATGGTAATCGCTTCTATTTGGGTTTGTTTCTTTTTCTTTATTTTTTAATCTCTTGCATTCGCCAAGCTACAGGCGGATGCCTGCTTCCAGGATAGGCAGAGAGGCGGCCTTACGAACAGTCTGGGTCTTCGCGCCTGGGCCCAGCTGTGATGGGAGCCTATTTTGGGTGCGACACGGCCAGAAGCTTTTTATATATCTTGCCACAAAAAACTGTAGTTTGTAGGTCTGGTTTGGCGGGAGCTGGCGGGTTTGCCGTGAAAATCGAATTGCTGTGAAACGCATTGGCTGTGAGGTCAAATGGTGATGTGCGATGCGCTGGAAGAATATCTCGTGTAGGTAATAGAGTAGATAGAGGTGTAGAAGTCGATACTAGCGATATGGTCTAGGCCCCAGTTCAGATATTAGCAAGGCACCACAAGGCACCACAAGGTATCGCAAGGCAAACGAAGACATCGCCAGACTACTAAGATATTGCGTGTCAATAGCATTCTCCCGCAGCCATTTAAATATCTTCTCATTGCAACTCAAGTATCTTCTCCCATTGCTTTCAGAGGTATTCTCCCACTGCATTCAAATATTAAACTGCAATTTAAATATATTCTCACTGCCATTCAAATATCTTACTGCAATTTAAATATCTTCTAGCTGCAATTCAAATATTTTACTGCAATTCAAATATCTTCCCCCACTGCAATTCAAATATCTTCTCCCACTGCAATTCGGAGGTATTCTCCCACTGCATTCAAACACCTTCTCACTGCATCCAAAAGGCTGCGTCTACATCCACAAGCAGTCCCGCCAACAGGACCCAGGAAGGTACATGGCAATGAATCACTACACTTGCAAAGCGGAATATCGTATTATTGATGCGCAGCCGCGGCTCCCGCGGCACAATACATAATCTGTCTTCGTGACACTCTCCCCGTGCCCCTGTCCTCGCTATCTAGTGGCCATCGACCGGCCATCTCGTGACTCTCCCCATGCCCCATGCCCGTCTCACGAGCAGTGGGTTTAGATGGCCTTCTTGTCGGCCTCGGCAGACAAGCGCACGCTCAACTCGATCTGCTCCTTGACGGCCCGGGTCAAGTATTCGATCATGATGATGTCCTGGTTGTGCGCCTGGAAGTGGTGCTTCAACGCATCCAAGTCGGACAAGATGGTGGGCTTGTTCAATAGGCTGTTGCTTAAGTTGCGCAACATGTCGATGTCTGCGTCCGAGTTCGAGGCGCCGTGGACGGCGGCCAACACGGCGTCGATGTGGCCCTGCACAGCGCCGATTTCCCGCAGCACGGTCAGCAACTGGCCGGCGTGGGCCGCCGCAGAGGGCCCCGTGGCGTGGCTGATCTGGCTCAACGCCGACTTCTCCGCGATCGTGGTGGCGCCGACCTTGTGTGGGATGGGCGAGAAGATGTACAGTGTGTTTCTGGTGACGGTGGTCCAGCCGATCTTCTGCACGCTGCCGGGCTTGCCCAAGGCGGCGCCAATGTATGTGGTCAACTGCGGGAACTCGATGGAGTCGCCGTTCAAGTACTTCACGTTGAGGTAGATGGCGGGGAAGGGGTAGGCTCTGTCCGCGCCCTTCGAGTAGAAGTCGTGGATCAAGCTGGTGGACGCGTCGATGTGGCCGGAGCAGTCGAACCAGCCCAACACGGATTCCTTGGGGTGCGCCTTCTTGTACAAGGAGTACAACGTTTTGTGTTTGTGCTCCTCGATAGCAATGGAGTCGCCGGTCTCCTGGCACGGCACCATGAAAGCGTCTCTGATTTCGACCTTGCTGCCGTCGTCGGACCGGACGCCAAGCAACGTGCCGATGATTCGGGTGTTTTGCTCAAGAATCTGCTTGGACACGATCTGCAAAATCAGGAAGAGCGCCGAGTTGTGGATGAGCACGTCGGCGGGCGACGACGCGGCGGGCGCGGCGGGCGCGGCCACCGTGGGCCGGACCAAGTGCATGAAAGTGTCGGCCATGTTTGTGTGGTTTCAGAGTGCTGGGCATGGAGCAGGCTTTTTTTTCATGTCTTTTTCCTGGTCCCGCACGCTGGTCACGTGCGCGCCCTGCTGGGGCCGGCGCGATGTCCCTAAGCTGCTCGGTGTTTCTGCTGGCGTGGGGGCCCTTTCATCCGGCGCTTTGGTGGATGCACGTGCTGCGGCCGTGGAGTTGCAGATGCAGGTTCTGGCTGCCATGGTGCTGTTTAATTTATTTTGGCTATTTTTTTTTCCAAGCTTTTTTTTATTTTTGGCTTGTTGTGCTTTCTATACTTTACTTGTCCAGGTGCTCGTTGTGGGTGCGATTTTCGCCCACCGCGCCACGCAGCCTTAAACTGACCCGGTGCTTCGCGCGCTCATGGCCCTGGCCCTCTTTCAGGCAGGGCCTCGCACGTCGGCTCTTGTCCTTTCATGAGAGCATTCAAAATTATGCCACCCCAGATATAAATTAAATCTCTATCATGTATTCAGACACAGTCAGCCACCGCCATGTTTTTCCACGGCTTTAAAGACCTGCTCTGGCCTGTTCTATAGTCATGTCTCTGACCCAGGCTGCCTGTTCTATAGTATGTTCATGACCCAGGCTGCCTGTTCTATAGTATGTCTTATAATGACCCAGGCTGCCTGTTCGAGCAGCCCGGCAGAATGTGCGGCAGGCTTGCGGCTGCCACTCTGCGTCACGTGACGAGCCGGGCCTATTTTATGAGTGCACGGATCCTAAAAAGCACGTAATGGTTAAAATATCAAGACCAACGGGGCCAAGCTCGTTGTCAATTTGCTTTTCCCATAAATACGTGTCTGGCCCTGAACCAAATGTGCTTGCGCGCGACCCGTCTGCTTCACCCCTCATTCCTCAAATGACCAGATACAACTAAAAAATTACAAACGTCTTTGGATCTGCCAGAATATGCTTACCCACGACCCATTTATGACACAGGGGTATCGCGGAGACAATCACTTTTTGTACGACTGCGTTCGATACTCAAAGTGGGCTTGTCGAACGTACCACCGGCGTGATCGTTTTTACTCCAGTTACATTTCTGGTACTCATTTCTGGCAAGGTTCTGAACAGAACTCAGGCTGACTGAAAAGCTTCGGGTATTGGTGCATGATGTATCGTGAACCGAGAAACTATGCGAATCTCAGCTAATAAATGACGCCTCCCGGGCCTTTTTACCACCGTCTTTTAAAACGAGAAAACCGCCCAACCGACAAAGAGAAAAAGACCGTACATTACCGCAGTTTTAGGGGCATATGTATGCCAAGAAAATCTTCAGACTTGAAGCAAAAAAGTGATGCGCGAACGCCAGACTGACAAGTGACAGCGTCTCGGAACATATTTCGAATGATACATTCGGACATCTAGCCCGTCTGGAACTAATTCTCATTCAATTACTTTAGAAACTCTCATCAATCAGGCCCTCCCAACATCTCTTTTTTGAACTCAAGTTTAGCTAATGTTCTGTCCGCCCATTCTTCATGTACGTGTTAACATGCACTCCATGGTTATGACCGAGCGGTCTTTCCGCGCCTGTTTGATTATCAAATAGATCAGTGGATCCGAAGCTCAAGCATGTTACCAGATGTCGAGGAAGATGAAAATGTCGACAGCTCTCTTAGATTTAAGAAGCCCCACTGCCAAAAACTATGTAGCTAAACAGAGCCATGTGAATATAATAGCATTTTCGAGATTGGCATCTGTTTCTACTCAATTCGAGCTTCTTCAACCTTTGCTTGCACGGCCGCCTCAGTTTTTGTCCTCGATTCAAGACCTTCATATAATAACAAAACACCTTAGGTAAATCTACTGCACTTTTAATAATGCAGTCTTCCCCGGATTATAGACCCCGTGCTGAAAAAAAGCACTGAATCTAACTAAGCTACTCACTTGTGAAGGATTGAACGCCCTCCCTTGCCAGAAAAGGCTCCTTTTTTTTTACAATGACGCAAAAGAGAAGTTTGAGATGAAATAACGGACTTACGAACAACTGCATACCGTCCGCGGGTGCCATGCATGCTACTTTGCATGCCACCCAAGTACGAGCGGGCGTGCTACGGCATTCTAGAGCCCTGGGAGATATCTCAACCATCTCCCAGCATGAATTTGTTGTGATTGGCTGTCTCGTGCTTCATGCGTCTCGTTTCTCTTTTGAACCAATTAAACGTACAGTTTTGAATTGAATTTTGTGGAATAAAGTTTCGCTTATAAAGTCTTAGGCTTCCCCATAGCCCTGGCTTTTCCTTTATTTTCTTGGTAGCCTCATTTTATCGCCAAGACATCTGTCATGAAAGTCTTATTGTTGTTTTCCTTGGCTTTTTTCTATGGCTTAGGGATTGCAGGTAAACCCACCACGTTGCAATATTATAGTGTGGGATACCAGACGTTCTATGCTTGCGGATATTACATTGTTCTAAACGTTCAATATAGCACCACTCCATATGACTACTCAGTCTTTTGCACCAATCCAGAAGCGATGGCTACATTGGTAGGTTGCTATGCAGACGAAAATAAGAACAACGCTGCAGACACTGCATTCTGGCGCGAGAAGTGTGAATCGATTTACCTTAGTCCTATCACCTACGAGAATATAACAGACGCTTACCAGTACCTTCTTGAAAGCGGCGTTCCTTTGGCGGAAGTGGGAAACTATACTGCTGGAAACCTCGATGTCCCTGTGATTATTCCTGAGGAGGATGCAATAGCTGCAATGGATTCTTACGGAATGTTTCTTGGTAATTATAACCACTCTGTTTACTATGGCGCTGGATCTTTGGCATATTGGGGATTGGTATGTTTGCTCTCAGGAATTGCAAACTGGAGCTTGGTTATCTTTCCCAATCTTCGGCTTGCAGTCGATGGAAAAGTGTCCAGATTATGGCGCAAATATGTTACATTGCCAGCTCTCGTGAGAAAGAAAAAGACCACAAGTCAGCCGTTTCTCAAGGTTCTATCATTTATTGTTCCATCGCGTTTCGAATCACTCGTGATCTTCGGATTCTTCTGGATTCTATTCATCTTAAATGCCGTTGAGATCTACGCAGTAAAGAATGAAGCTCTTTTTGATCTGCAGGTAGCAGCGTTCAACAGGTATGTTGCAGACAGAACTGGTATTGTTTGTATCATAGTCTTGCCTCTCTTGATTTTGTTCGGAGGCCGGAACAATTTCTTGATGTGGATCACACGATGGAAGTTCTCAACATTTATTACCTATCATAGATGGATTGCAAGGTTTGTGGTTCTTTTGGCGTTTGTCCATGGTTTATGCTTTTGGAGAACTTTTGCCCTCGCTGGAGATACTGCAGAAGAGTCGGCGGAAACTTACGTAATTTGGGGCATTGTGGCTTTCTGTTGTGGCATCATCATATGTTTTCAAGGTCTTCTTTATTTAAGAAGATTGTGGTATGAATTCTTTTTGGTGTTCCACATTATTTTGGCAGCTTTTTTTGTCATTGGTACTTGGTACCACATCTATGAGCTTGGGTACTCCCAATTCATGTACGCGACCTTTGCCGTTTGGGCATTCGACAGAATTATAAGACTCGTCAGAGTGCTATACTTTGGATTCCCAGAAGCTGAGGTTTCATTATTTTCAGATGACACGATCAAGGTTGATGTTCCCAAACCCGCTCACTGGAAGGGTATCCCGGGAGGACATGCATATTTGTATTTCATGCATTCGTACCACTTTTGGCAGTCCCATCCTTTCACATATAATGAGCTGGAGTCCCACGTTACGTTTTTCTGCAAGCTGAAAGATGGCGTCACGAAAGCACTTTATGAACATTTGAGTAATTTGCCGGGCAAAACCACGCAAATGAGAGTCAGCGTGGAGGGTCCTTATGGCGAGTCTCACCCAGTAAAGCATCACAGTGATGTGGTATTTGTTGCTGGTGGAAATGGCCTTCCTGGCCTTTACTCTGAATTCGAACATTTGAATAAAGCAGCAGATGGCAAGCAAAAATTGAAGTTGAAGTGGATCATCCGGGAGATCAAGTCTTTTGCGTGGATGTGGAAAGAGTTTCAAAGATACAGAAACACTAACGCAGAGATTACCATCTTTGTCACTTGTCCTCAGTTGGCAGGAGATACTGAGGAGTTTGAGTCGTTTTTGAATGGAGATGCGAGTTTTTCAGATGAAAACAAGGAAGAAAAGGAAAGCAGCTCAGATGTTCTTGCGCAGCTTAGACGAGAATTCCCATATATTTCTTTTGTGGAGGGCCGTCCTGAAATAAAACAAATTATTGAGCAAGATATCAAAGAAGCAGGAAACAGTGTGGCTTTTATCGTATGCGGTGCTCCTCTCATGGTCGACGAAACAAGATACCAAGTGGTGAAGCATATTGATCAGACTAGTAAACGTGTTGATTTCTATGAGGCCTTGGAGGTCTGGGCATGATTTCGTGTTTGTGACAGCTGGGCATGTGTTGTTTTCTATATTTCAACTAGGTTTTGTAAAAGTATAATTTTTTTATTAATTGAACAATAAGTGGAATTTACCGAGGTAATAGATGTACTCCCCATTTACCTCAATATTTTAAAAGAGGAAAACACCAAGTTACATTACATTCATTATAAAAGTGTTACTTTCTTTCTTAGGAAGGTTCTGTTCCATAAACATCATTGATTTTTTTAATTTGTGAATTGAGTATTTAATTTATATGAAGAATGGTTACATCTCGAATTCCGCCATTCAGTCTCCAAATATTCAATCTTCTTTATTTTCGTTTAAAATGCAAGACATGAATAAAGTGTTTTTCATAAACTTGATTTCAAAGTAGCAACAAAGTCATGCTAAGAAAAACAAAGACTTTCATCACAGTAACTCTTTTTGATATTCCTGTCCTCGTACCATATCTGCGTTATAATCTTACCAATATGAGCGCGCGACTTTTCAAGCGATAATACTGGGCTCGAAAATACATCTTATTCTTTCAACTCCACTGACTTAGAGCGCCACATAACCTTTTTTTTTTTCATTTTTTCATACATTCTTTAGATGGCCCAAAAAAACCCTGCGCGGGCTTCCCACAATACGTGGCTTTTTTCGGAAGATGCGTTTCTTCGTCGGTGCCCTTCACGAAAGCAGATGACCGTTCCACAAGACTTGAAAGCTCGGGAACTGATTTACGCTTTTTTGTTGAAAATGGGCTCCGAACTCAAGCTTGACGGGCGCACGATTCTTGCTGCCACCATCTACATCAACCGCTTCTACATGCGGATGCCGATCACGACATCGAAATACTTTGTGGCGTGCGCCGCAGTGGCCATCAGTTGCAAGCTACATGACACGTATCGGCCGCCAGATAAGATTGCATTGACCGCATGCATTCTCAAGAACCCGGGCAAGAAAATAGACCAGCACAGCAGTGTTTTCTGGCAGTGGCGCGACCAGCTTCTTTATCGCGAGGAGCTCATCTTGAAGCTGTTGAATTTCGAACTAGATGTGGAGCTCCCGTACGATTTCATCGACGACCTCCTACAGGACAAGGACGAGTTGCTGAAGGAGGGCTTCTATGTGAAGCTCCCTGAAATCCTCAAGTACACCGTGTCGAAAGTGGAGCTCGTCAGCGCGTTGCCGCTTTTAGTATGCTATGATACGAGGACTTTGTTTGGCACCATGCTCGTGTTGGCAGTCAACGAAGCGCAGGGCCGCTTTGAAGACATTGGCCCGCTCAAAGTGCCCTCCGAGTACTTGCAAAATCGGTTGCACACGTCCGCGGCCGAGTGCTATAAGTGCTTCCAGTACATTCTCAAACTCAAGGCCATATGCGAGGACCCCAAGTTGCCCAGCCATAGCAACGTTATAAATAGAATCCCGTTTATGGACGAGGCCCTGTTTTTCAGCACTGCCGGCTCCAGAGACGGCCCGAAAAACCCCGCTCCCCCGTGAATCCCACGCATTGATGTTCATTAATGGGGCTACTGGCCCACTCCCCCTTATATATCTTGCATTGCTGTGCGTCGCAGCGCTAGCTACGCAATGCTCGTTCCTGACTCACAACCGGCTCACTTTTTTCCGCACCATCCTCTACCGTTCTTGAAGGTTGAGTCTCGTTGTTTTCTGTACATTTATCCACGTCTTTCTGGTTCGATGTGCATGTATCCACGGCTTTCTGGTTCGATGTACATGTATCCCCGGCTTTCTGACTCGGAGCACATTGTTCATCTTTCACCAACACAGGGCTCTGGCTGGTCTCCAGATGACGCTCCAGACTGCCGTCTGGGCTTTGTGAGTTCTCCTTGTCTTCTCTTTCTGAAGATTCGGTCTTGACTGGGGCGTCCGCTGGAGCTGCTTCCACTTCGCCTGTTTCATTGCTGTCTTTAATTACATCCAATGCCGTCGCTGCATTTTCAGCCGTTTGAGTCGAGCCTGTGTGCTGGATATCTTCGTTACCGGTGTTTCCGTCGTCACACTCCATAGAAGCAGAGCGACTTTCTTTCCCCGGACTTATTGAGTCATCTCCAAGTACATTTTCAGGCTCTTGTTTTTGCTTCTGGTGGATGTTCAATCTTCTGTTTATCTCATCCTCGTGTGTTGACGCATACTGTAAGTACTGCTGCAAATCGTCATCCATCAAGCATTCATGGTACTTCAAATTGTAGGGTAAGGCGCTTTTGAGATGTGGCGGGGGTAGGATATGAGGTTGCGTTGTTGTGCCGTCTGTTTTTTCGTCCTCTTGTAGCTGGAGCAAAAAGTGATCGTTCTTGTTGGAGTTGCGGATCTGGCTCTTGAACAGCACGTAGCTATCCTCGCCATCTAACGGCGTGGGATGAAACTTCTTGAGCTTGTGCACGTTTATCAAGTCGTCCTGGATACAGGTGTTGACAAACTTCATGTTCTGGCCTAGTTTCATGTCTTTCTCAGCCAAGTACGCGAGCCACGAGAGCCTGTCACTGGTCGTGAGCTCATCTTCATCTAGGTCATCGGGAAACTCACTTTCTTTATCTGGCCTCGTTGAATCATCGCCCTGTTTGAGCTGATTGAAATACTCCTGGCGTTCCCGTAATCTGCGTTTTTTCCTCTCCTGGTCTGTTTCAGAGGAAGTATCGATTTTGCGTTTTTCAATCAAATTGGCCAAGTGCAGCGAAGGCACAGAAGAAAGCTTTTTGCTCACCGAGAAGCTGTCGCTATACTGAACCCAGTTTTTGAACGACTTGAGAGATTTGGTGTTCTTTTTATCCTGAGGGTCGTTTGCCAGTGTAGGCTTGATGAATCCGATGTTTAGTAGAGCCTCGGCCACATCTGAGGCTACAACATCGTTGACGGCGTTTGTGCGGGCCAAAGAGAATTTCTTGGTCTTTTCAATCACCAACTCCAAATGCTTGATGTATAGCTCGGTGATGATATTGAGCACCAGAGGCTTGCACTTATCAAAGCCCGCGGCCTTGAGGATTTGTGCAACGGATATTCGAAGTAATGCGAAAAAGAATGTCTCCTCCATTTTCCAGATGGTCGGGATTGTAGCGTTGGCTTGAGAAGTACTTAGTTCATTTAGGACGTACCGAACTAGCGTTGGTGTTTTGTGCAGGTGAGAAGCGGATTGGGGACATGGGCAAGGACAAAGTGTCAGCCAACGTTCGATATTTTGCGGGATGCTCTTGAAGTGGAAGTATATATCGCTACGTAAAATCACTAGTTTACTTAGAGGGATATTTATGCTCATGCGTTTATTCAGAAGTATTAGCTGTCGGACCCTTTTACGCGTGCAGATCCTGTTTACTGAAGATCAACCATGAATTGGACAAACCTTCAGTGGATTGAGCGGACAGATAAATGCCACTGTCTACAAAAAGACTGCCATACCATTGAATAAAAGCAAACCAGACAGCCTGGGTCCTTACGCAGTGCCACAACTCCATGATGGAAATACATTGACGTCTATGTGAATTTACAAACCCTGTTGCAACCTCTCACTGATTTTTTTCGAGGCAAACGACAACGCACCAAACAATCCTTTCTCAGAAAGATCGATGTTCATGTTCATGTCGCTGGCCACAGCGGACCCTGAAGGCGGGTTGGTGACTCGACTGACGATGATAGCCGGGTCGATTTCTATTATGATTCCGTCCTCAATAGTCTCGTCCATACACAAGCACACCATGTCGTACTTCAGCAAAACCACGGATTTGTCCAAGGAATTGCCCAACAAAATAGTCAACGCTTCGTTGATGTTGTTTGTCAACGAGTAGAGCATCGACTCATTCTCGTTGAGGGCACTGACAATGACAAGAATCACGTCGTTTGTCTGCTTGTAGGTGACCAAGTGGTTGTCGTACAAAATCAAGTCTTGGTGCTGTTTGTTGATTTTCGAGTAAATCGCTTTTTCAAACGTGGCCTGTTGTTGGGGCGTTTTATAGGCCTGTGCGGCATCCGATATTTGATAGTATTTTGCGTACAATCTCTGGCCCTCGGGGCCTAGAATCAACGCGGCGGAAACCGTGTAGAGTGAGATGTTTAAGGACATTCTAGCGGGAGTTGGGATGTCACTTCTTTGAGATTGGTGGCCCAAGGTCGCTATTTACTTGGAGAGCCGCGAGCGATCTTATGGGCGTGCAATACTCATATGCGCGGTAGTGGCAGGAAGGTGTAACAGACAGGAGAGTACACCACTGTGAGCATTGCCTTACTCTACAATACAAGTACTGAGATGTCGGTGCGGGTTAAATAATGTAGCACGCAGCCGTTTTTTCCTACCTGGTGGGATTTCTAAGTGTCTCATGTTAATTACATTGTTCATTCTTGCTGGCTCTGCTCAGGCACCCACAAGCTTAAACACGAAGTCAAGAATGGTTTTTTGCATCGGGTTCCGCGCATAGAAATCCTCAGTCAAGCCCATGATAGTGAAGCCCGACGCCTGCTGACTAGCCACGCTCCGGAATCCGTAGACAAAGTTGACGATCAAACCAAACATCAAGCCAAATGCCACCAACACAGGCCCGACTATGTTGTCTAAGTGCTTGTCGGATCTCTCCATAATTATGCTTCTTCTCTTGAGGAAAATATGGTAGCCCCAAAATCCTGAAAACAATGTCAATGCAAAGTAGACATAAGACAAGCGCTCGGCCAACTGCGTAGAATTGGCTTTTTTGGCAGACGAGTAGATGATGAACGTCAATGTCGAAAGCAACGTGGTCACATGCAACCACCGGTTGAACGTCCGCTCGTTTGCCAACCACACCTTAGGTTCGACTTTAAGAGGTCCTGCGTTTTTAATGTAGCTATCGGGCTTCGCCACACCGGTTGGCAAGTCAAATTCCTCTTCTTCGGAGTCGGCGTCGAGTAACTTTGAGAAAGTAGAGGGAATATTGAAGAGCTTCCGCTTGAAGCCTCTCTGTGCTTCGTCTTCGAAATCCTCATCAGAAGACTGGTCTAAATCCACACCTGAAGTGACAGGGTCTTCGGTGTTTGTTTCTTGCACAGGCTGCAAATTGTTGGTGTGACTAGGTTTTCTTTGCGTATCAAGAATGAGCTCAGAGCCTGAGAACGACTTCGATCTGGGTGCAAGATTGGGCGATGCAGAATTCGCCAACATGGTCTTGAACTTCTTCAAATTGTCCTCATCGTTTTGCAACTTGGCCATTTTTTCTCTGGTATCAAGAAACGCACGCTCTGGATCAAATGTCATGTCGGCCTCCAACTCATTAAACCACAAGGGAATATTGTCTAACTTGTCGTCTTCCAAAAAAAGAGACCCAATACCGTGGATGAACTTGGAAAAGTGTGGTATTTCTTTCACGAGGTGTGATTGTACCAAGTCTTCTATCCAGATGACTTTTTTGCCTTTTCTCTTGGTTCGGACTTTCACTTCTAGTTCAGCATAAGGGAATTTGACAAATTCTCCTTTTCTCAATAAGGATAAGGGGTTGTTGACCTTAGAATCGATGTCGGTTCTATGCCACTTGCTTGGATCTCTGATGGGTCTCTGTGCATCAAATGCGTCTTCACGAATGAAATAAATATCAGAGTCGATTACAACGCGGACCTTGTCATCACCTGGAATCTGGAACGCTGTTCTCTTGTACGTGGTTCTGAGACATGGTTGAACGTGATTCTCTTCAATGTACTTAGTGAAGCTCTCGATGTGCTTTCTGGCGTCGTCAATTTCCTCGGGGCTTTTTCCTTTTTTCTTCAACTTGTTCAAGTATTTGGTTGCGTTGAAAGACCCGTTAACAAAAGAGTCCAAATACTTTTCTTTCAAGATAAACTTCTCGTCCACATCATAGGTCTCCGAGCTTTTTTCAAAAGTCTTCTTTTCGATCAGAACCTCTGGCTTTTTGTAAAGAGGCCCGACCCACTTGATCCTCAATGTGGAAGCGTTGACGGACTTCGTCAACTTGTTGTTATACAAATCAAAGTTTGGACTGTCGAAATACAAGCAGTTGATTTGCGGATCGTTCTTAGAAAAGCGGGACACTTCATCATCGTCATCATCGTCATCATCATCATCGTCGTAGTAGTTTTTAGAGTTGTAAACAAGCACGGGAAGATGGCGCAAGATATTGGCCTTCACCTCCATCAAATTGTCCGGATGAACCCAGAACTTGAAAGACTGGTAATCTTCAACGGTTTCATCGTTGAAGGACGATAATTTCGACAAAGACTGGTCCACATCGTAGTTGTCACGCAAGAACTGGAACAACGCCGAGATCTTGAACACAAGCGGCGAGTAGTCTTCCGAGTGGAATGGCAAGCTCTTCAAACGGACATTCAACAAGGGCTTTACCGAATAAGAGGGGTGCAAGCGATCGTGCTTCTTGACAATCTTTGTGAATCCAGTGTAATTGACCCTTTGAAAGCGGTTTAATTCCTGGGTCAAGTTCAACACCAGTTCCAACTTGGCGGTGAATTTCTGCACATCGAAGTCGGGAGCAGTGGACTCAGTTAAGGCCTGCAACTCATTCAATTTCTCGTTCAAGTCGTCGTAGGTGTTGACCTGGAAAGTGTACACTTTTTCCAAGTCCAGGTCCAATGCACCAACAAAGTTCTGCTCATCCTTTTCCGTCCAGGCATTCTTGATGATGACCTCTTCCTTCAAAAGTTTCTTTAGCTTGATGTAGTTAAGGTAATAATCTCTCCAAGGCTCATAGATCTCGTTGCCAAGCTTGCTCTCAAAGAGCACATTCAGCTGCTCTGGAGTTTGAGTAGTGGTCTCTTCAGCCATTGGGTGATTGCGAGTTTCTCAAGAATAATCGACGGTCTTCGTTTAACCAGACGTGCAATTCTAAAATCAGGAGTTTGTTGATAGTTCAAGAAAAAGAAAACAAAAGAAGCCTTGAATTCAGTACCCTTGGATGCTGGCCCAAGCTGGGGAGTCTTCTCGAATTATACCTGAGCACGGTACATGCATCTTGCCTGCAGGACAGTCTGATAAACACGTGGGATAATATTCCGAGCTCAAATCAGGGGGCGGGCACAAACCAGAAATACATAAGAAAGAGGCCTTGTGCGAGTATCCAAGATTTGCGGGCTATATAATCATGCTTTTTTACCCAGTTCAAATGAGAAGGCTGATTGTCCTGTTTGGCTTTAGGTAATCCCACCACTTCTTCTTTTCCGCTCGTGGTGCGACCCCATTTATTAGTATGGATCGTTTCTCTGCAGTGCGTTCCGGCATCCTGGCGCCTGACGGTGATTGTTGATTACAGAACGTCCTCAATTGAGATGGATCCATCTGGACAGTTAGAGATATTACAATACCGGTTTCTTTTCTCCGCAGCAAGTCTTGTCCGCAACGCCCTACCTAGATCCAGATATAGTGTATTGGATGTATGATTGACGTTGGGGAAAGAAAATCAGCAAGGGTCAGTGGTCGAGCATCCGTAGTCTTTCACCCCATGTTCCTATGTTGATATTAGATTTACACGCAGCTGGCTTGAATTCTTGAAATAAGAGCATCATACATTTTTATCTACGTGGGAGCGTCTTCTGCTGTGGGCGAGGCGATGTCTTAATAACTCACAGGCTCTGGCAAAGACAGTAAGCCTGCTCGTCGTAGAATAATGTGAGTAAAAAAATATCTAAGTAACAAACACGTATGATGCTCATACATGTTCCGGAATCACGACTAAAAGGCTGTCGTTGTTATTGTCATGCTGCATCCGATCCATCCTCCTTTGCTTTCACTATTCATAACGACTAATTCGAGACCTGGATCTTGTCTTGCCCTCCAGCAAACTGAATTCTAAATTAGTGTATGAAGTCAGCGATTGAACGTTGGCTATGCAAGGAATCTGTTTTGGTTTAATGTCAGGGCAAGCCAGCAGCCGTATATGGATGCGACGAGAGACCCGTACACCAGATCTTGCCAGTAAGCCACGAGCTGATGCAGAGGCGTCTAGGTAGGGTTCAAAGCGTATCAATTTTTGCTCATCATTTCCAAAGATGAGTTATGACGCATCCGGTGGTATTCCGCTTGCACCACGAAACCGCTTGCAGTATACACCCCCCGGTCTCCATGTAAATTCTCATGCGGAACTCTCTACTATGGATCGAGATATAGTTCTGAAGGACCCAAGCCAAGTGCCGCCGGAACAATCCCGATCGTTTAGCGCAAGGGAAATCTTTACCTATTTCTCGACATCATATTCGGTTTTCATCATGACGCTTTTCAAATGCCTAGCAGAAAAGTTCTGGCACAGTCCAGCCCACACTATTGAGAATTCCACGGACGATCTACGAGACGACGAGGCGCTCGATTTCGCCCTCGGTTCTGGGTTTCCTGGCGAGTCCACTCCTATCAACACTTCCTTAGTTGAAAATAACAACCTGGCAGGTCCTGGTGCCGAATCTTCAAACCCACCTGGTGCCCGAAGTACCATTAACAGTGATTTGTACCACTCTATATTTGAGCTCGATTCCTCAGATGGCGACGATGTGGATTTCCGTGATCAGTATGGAACATCGCTCAAAATTAGCGAGAAGTCCACATACAAGCCAAATGCTGATATTCAGCGGGCCCCCGTATTGCAAGACGATGTGACGGCAACGGAGTTTTTAGACACCGAGCTACCTACATTAGACGAATACGATAAGGTAATCCGCAACTTTTATACACCTATTCGGCCTGTTCCACCACCGAAATACTCATTGACAGATGCCATGCTTGCTGCCATTCCGTCCTACGATTTCTCTCAGTTTCTCAGAAAGGAGCGGGAGAGAATACAGGCTGTGATTTTCCTGGAGAGAAAGGCCTCACAATCAAAAATCAAACCGCTTTCCGACTCGCAGCTTGCCATTGTTGAAAGCAAATGGAAGGCTCGCAACACGAACGAGCGCATTGTCTCAGATTTCTCCATCGACATCACAGTCAAGGATATCCAAACTCTCAAGGACTCAAGCTGGTTGAACGATAATGTCATTGATTTCTATCTAAACCTAGTTGCTGCTCGCTCCACTGGTATTTTTTGCTGGACAACCCATTTCTTTTCCACCCTCAAGAGCAAAGGATACCAAGGCGTGGCACGATGGGCTAAAAGAAAAAAAGTCAATCTTCTCGAAAAGGACTTGGTCATTGTTCCAATAAATATTATGAGCACGCACTGGGCGCTTGCTGTGATAGACAACCAAGCAAAACTGATCAGCTACTATGACTCTTTGGCGTCGCGTGGTAACCTCAAAGCGCTCCAGTTACTCAGCGAATACATGTCCAAAGAAAGCGAGCGTTTGCTGATGCCACAGATTGCATACACTCTACACGCCAACGTGAAAACACCACAACAGCAAAACGGATTTGACTGCGGTGTATTCACCTGTACGGTGGCCAAGTGCCTCTCTGAGCAGTTGCCGCTTTCCTTCAGTCAAAAAGATATGCGGCTCATCAGGCGAAGGATGGCCTACGAGATTATAAACAACAATCTTTTAGGTGGTGTTCTGCAAGGGCCTCACCTATGAAGTTTAAATTCATGACACCACTATAATAACACACGTTTCAATCAAAACCCGAAGAAAGAAGACGCCTTCTTTGTCGTTCCCATGGCTGATATTTCCTTGACGTTTGACTCGTATTCTTGAACCTTTAAGGTTGAGGCATTCACTTTACCGCTCAAGTAGTCAATTCTCTCTTTCATAAATTTGAAGTCGCTGGTGCTGGCAAGTTTGGAGATCTGGTCCTCCAACTTCGAAATCTTGTTATTCTCCAAAGAGATCAACTGCGAGAAAAAGAAAGTCTCATAGAGTTTGAACACTTCTTTGTCTTCGACTAAGTCTTTGAAAGCTGCTTTGAATAAAGGACGCCCAGTGGTAATTTTTTTAACGATTCCTTTATCGCGTTTCAAGGAAATCAAATCGTTCTTCTCCAATACAGCCAAAGTAGCGACGGTATCTGTGTTCAAAGAAAACAAGGGAGACTTGACCAATTCGTTCATTTCAATAGTGTTGTTTCTTGCGAGTGCCCTAATGAGTGCCCAGAGCTGAGCAGTATTCCAGGGAATCTCTGAATCTGAATTATCCGGCGATTTGTTCAAGAAAAACGTTGTAATTTGCTCAGATGCTTGATGTATCATTTCATTTAAAGCATCTACCGGTTCTTCGCCAGACTTAACGCGTCTCACGAACGCCTGCAAATCGAGCATACGCCCACCAAGAGGCTCAAGACACGAGTCAATGTTTTTTGTTGCAGTGGTGTCACGTAGTTGTCTTAGGACATACTGTTTAGCACTTGAATTGGAAGCATCATCCAAAGTAATCGTCTTAAATACTTGATTTGGAAGCGCTGATGTCAAATGCAGAGTGCTCCCAGAATCCTGAGTGATAAAAATCACATGAGCTGAGTTGCTTTGGATCAATTGACCAGCCCAATCTGCAAGAGCCTTGTACATAAAGTCTTGTGGACTGTCTGATTTCCTTAAGAAATTGTTAATGACAATCACCGGTTTCACTTCAGGATGCATTTGTAGATAATCTTCTTCTCTAGCAGCGGCAAAGTTCGGTTCCACATCCAGGCCTTGCGATTTCATTTTGTATTGACGCTCAACTTCATTCTTGTAAGCAGAAAAATCACTCAAGGCAACATTTCTTATGGCCACCAGCGCCAACAGTAACATGTTCTTATATTGCGTCTCCTTAGATTCACTTAGACCAGACTTTTGCCCCGTCAATCCCTGCAAGCCGAGATCGACGAATTGAGAAACAGAATTTGTCCAGGTGAACAATGGAAAATAACCCAATTGTGCTGCCGCAGTCTTGAGGAAAGATTTATCGCTCCTCGTCTTGATCAAGCTTGCGCAATCGATTTCTAAGAGACGCTTCTTGAAAGTGTCATCGATGTTCAATGCGTGTTCAATGACAAATTCCCGTTCAGCAGAGCCTTTGGGGCCTTTGACTATGATAAAAGTGTTTGCGTTTTCACAGACCCAAAGCCGGAGCTGGTTAGCCTTCTCCAAACGCTCTGTCCAGAACATGTCCGATTCCAAATCGTCGACATTGACCTCCTTTTTCAGACCGCCAGTTATGGTATTCAAAGAGTTGTCAATGAAGTGTCTGCTGTCGCTCAAGCTCGATGCAATCATACTATACGGAATGTATAATGCACGGATATACCACTTGTCCTTGTGTGCTTCCCAGCTATAGTAGTGTCTGATCTTCATCAGGATGAAGTACTGTCTAATGGGCTCGAAAATCAACACCGCAATAGTGGCCAACAAGGCCAAGATCACAGGAATGGCAATCTTCTGATGACTGGCAATGAATGCGCTGATGTGGTTTGCACGTAATATTGGGATGTACTGCAAGTGCAAAGTGGTTTTGCCTTCATTGAGCTTCAACCCAGTGACACAGTTTTTGGCTCTGACACAAGGGTCCGTTGACTTGAACAAGACCGTCGCATGGGGAACAGAACTAGATGAGGGAATGATGTCCACTATAGGACCATATCTTCTGAACAACTGGTACAATTCTTCCTCGGTGAGAGAGTCACCCTGGAATATCACTTTGAGCTTGCGGGAAGGAAACCGACTCAAATCCTCGATCCATGGCGTGCCTTTAACTTGCAGAGCTTTTGGAAAACGACTAACGAATTTCCAGTACGAGACCAAAGAAGATCCCAGAGCCACAGATTCTAGGTTTTTTTCAATCGTCGCCACAAGATCTTTTGGGTTCGAGTTCGGGGGCACCAAGAACTTGACAAAGGCACCTCCATCACGTTTCAAAGGAACGAAACTCTCACACCTGGCGCCCGCAGGCAAAGGGGTGCTATCATTGTTCACGAGGCCCACCACCATTTCTTTCACTTTTGAGTCGTACACAGGGGGATTGAGCTTCCTTACAATATAACCCAAACTTCTCGTGTAAGCCAATTTGGCAAGCCATCTGGGATATAAGTTGTCGAAGAATATAAGAACCTCGTCTTGTTTCAGGTAGTCCAATACACCCGTCATGCGGGCAAAACCCTCAGAGTCAGACTCGTTTATGTTCTTTTTCGACGTGTTGAAATCAGACACACGCCGCTTATGTATGGTCGATATAATCGGGGAAACCCTGGTGTTTGAGGCCAAAATCCGGGGTGGACCTAGAGGCCTGCTTAGGGCTCTGATCACGTGTGACACTAGCATAAGTCAGGGTCTTGAATCGAGCTGAGGGCCGGAGATCTTTGCTTTTTGATATATATGCTTTTTGATATCTGCTTTATAATTGGAAGTATAATTTCCAAAAGAAAACACGGGTTCAAAAGAGCGGGGCAATAGAGGAGTTTCATGTACGTCCTCGCATAGTGAGGCCTTGCTGCGGCGTCTACACTCTTGCTGCGTCTACATGCACGAAATCGGTAAACTCATACTTCGCAATGGAAATGATAAAAAGTTAGAAAAAAAAAGATGTCTCACTTGAATTGTCACCGGCGGCTAGCCACCAGCACTGTCCCCCATAGCGTACCTGTTTTTCCTTGTGGCACTGTAAGGGCAGCTGCTAAATTCACTAGTGAATACTGTTCTAGGCTTCGCTTTGAATCATCATACCATTTGGATCGGTATGAGGATCTTCGAAGAGGCCAAACACTACAATGTCATGGACAGTTGCTCTCCAGAAACAGGCATCTGGAACACTCCAAATAAGCAGAATACCCACCTTCACTGGGGTTGCCATTTTTTTATGACAACACCAATGGAGATGCTGCCCTGCGTTGAGACCTGGAGTGATAAACTTTTGTAGTAAAAAAGAGTGCCGGTTGGAGGGAGAAATTTCGCGTCGGACTTTGCGCTTAAATAGAGAAGCGGGCAGCGCACGTCCCTGCGCAAGAATTCTGGCGCTCACCACAAGCATCCCTGTTGTCCAAACTGATGAGATTCATAGGACTGTTTCCCGTTTATTTATTAGGAATGAGAGCAAAATGAACTCCACGTAAATTGTGGGATTCGATTGCGTTTGGTATTTACGGAGGGCTAAGTGCTAGCATCTGACTGCGTCGTAGCCCTAAGTTTGATGACTCCTGTGATTGAATAAATTTGACCTTGCGCGCGCAGTGGTTCCTAAAATGCCCGATCTTCAGGCCCATTTCCGGACGAGTTCATAAAGTCAAACCAGAAGCATGAAAGCTTTTGCTGCAGGTGTTTGCCAATTTCTTAAGTAGGGGCAGCCAAAGTAAGATGTTTCTACTCACATCAAGTCACCAGAATTGCTGATTTAACAAATGCTGTCAATGGTTGCAGTATTAGCTTCTTTTCGTATTGGTACACGCTTGATTAGTTGGTGTTGGGCACAAATTAGGTGATCCAACAAAGCGAGACCGGGCTGTATTTCAAGCAAGAGAGGTTTTTCTGCTACTGATATTTGAGGGCTGCTTGTGAAGGATGAATTGGAACACCCAACATGGCCTGAATGACCAGAGTACGATTATTTTACACATCCCTTTACTTTATAGCGCTTGTAGAATTGAGAACCCGTTCAGGCCAATTTCCAAAATTGTTGCCATGAGTTGAGACAGATGCTGACGCATCCCTGCTTTTATTATAGACACTCCGAGAATAACCCTCAGGACCTATTCAACACTAAACATTTTTGGCGGTATGAGAACCTAATGACAAAGCAGGCCGGAGCTTGCCTGGTGGATCGAAAACTGGAACGAAGCTGCTGTTTTCCGAAAAATCAATGTTCAAGTGCTTGTCCTCTTTAAGATTCAACCGAAGCTCATAAGGGGATCTAAAACCGGAACACAATGCATGCCAAAATAGTTTCTCCACAGAACTAATTATATGGCACCAGATTATAGCTTTAGAATTGCCATGATGATACACGAGCCACACTCTTCCAGTTTTTAAAGGGTTGATGCCATTTTCATCCGCGACACCCACCAACTTGATCGAAGCGACTAGAGCTATGCATCTCTCTTGGTGACATTGACAATCTGAAGTCCCAGATTTGAGGAGAAGGAGCAAACAAATTCATACGTTGGCATTCTTGAAAGGGGGGACTAGTCCACCAATGGCGTGGAAATGAAAGCTGAGTCATTCAAAAAGTCTCTCGTCTTGAGAGGGCGAACTGTGCCCTCACAGGAATCCTCACTGAGTTTTTTGCCGTTTTTGTAGTTATTCCTGATGTATTCCTTCATCGACTTCAACGCGGCTTCTCTGCATAATTCTCTCAACTCCGAGCCACTGAACCCCTCGGTATTGACCACCACGGTGTTCAAGTCAAAATCATCAGCATCGAGTTTTGCGTCACTCAAGATTTTTTCAAGAATGAGTTTTCTTTGACCCGCATCGGGCTTCCCGATGGCGAACCGTTTCGGCAATCTTCTCATGAACGCCAGATCGATATCTCCCTGGCGATTGGTGGCGCCCATCACCATGATTCTGCCGTTAGAAACAAGCCCATCCCATAGTGTCATGAACTCGGCTTTCAACATCGAGCTGACCTCGTGGTCAGAGGAGGACCGGTCGCGCAAAAAGGAGTCGATCTCGTCGATGAAGATGATGCAAGGTTGCAACTTGTTGGCCAACGAGAAAATAGCATCGACGATTTTGTTGGACTCGCCGTACCACTTGTCCATGATGGTCAGCATACGGATCAGCAAGAAAAATGCCCCGCTTTCCTTGGCGATCGCCTTTGCCATCATGGTCTTGCCGCACCCTGGGGGGCCATAGAATAGCACGCCTTTAGGCGACTGGATAAGCGTCAGATGTGCAGAGAAAAGCTCCGGTTCGGTGAGTGGCAAGATGACTGCTTCGTGGAGGTCATCGATGATATTTTGCATGCCGCCAATGTCGTTGAACGACACAGACAAATCCTCGGGGAGAACAAGGCAGTTGAGAAGCAGCTTCTCGTACTCGTTCAACAGCACAGTCTTCAACCTTGGGTCATGTGACTGGATCCGTTTCAACACACTGCTACTGTTTTTCTTGCTTTCCTTTGTCCGCACAGAACTGTCGGCACCTTCGTTCAAAAGATGGCGCACCATGTAATACATCGAGAGCCCGGCGCCCGTGAGGAAGAAAATGTCGCCTAGAAGCTTGAGGTCCACTTTGGTTCCCCAGAGGTCCAACTTAAATCTATTCATTGTGGCAATTTTGTGGTTTAAATGATTTCTATTGCTGGTGGGAGAAGGTGGTGCAGGTGAGTGCACCGATATTTTATTGGGCCGGTGGCGCTCAGACTGTAGCCTCGGCCCCACGAAATATGGGGCCATAGGAAGTCCTGTACTTTTTTGCGATACGCCCGAATCCTGAAACTCGAAGAGTGAAACCTCATATTTTCGAGAATTATGAGGAGTGTCATTTTTTGGAGTCAAGCGCTTATTTTTTACAAATAAATTCATGTTGTGCCCAAACTTTCCGTGTTCACTAGTCGATCTATGTATAGTGCGCCGCTGCCCAGTAGAGACCCCTGTCGTGTCCGGAATTTATCTCAGGTCATCCAACGGGTATGGAAAGTGACGAACAGCACTAAAAAACAAGCAAAGTGTTTCAAAAAGTGGACCTGGCCAAGATTTACAAAAATTTTCAGGGAGGTCGATCTTTCCTGCAAAAGAGACCACTGAGTGTGAGTGACATTTGCCTGTTTTATATAGGCGCACTATGCGAGCAGAGCTCGGGTGCAAAATTCAGAGCGAGCTGCCTCATCTCATTCTCATGCCGGCTCCATCGCATCAACGCATATCAACAATCAGCCATTCCAAGTGCCAAAACTCTAGGTTCTCCACACAGCCACGCTAAGCTATATAAAACCCGTTGAATAAAGATGGCCAAACCGGGCGAAAAACACCAGATCCGTATGCCGGGACTGGTCTTGGACCAGATTCGGACCAAGGAGGAAAGCGGTGAATATGGCAAGGATGCACGATTTGCCAGGAAGCGGAAAGCCACGGGAAAGCCCGTTTCTCGTAAGGAGAAAAGAAGGGAAGAGCGCATGTTGAAAAAGCAAAAGCATCTGAAAGGTGGCTCCCATGCCCAGCCGCAGTATCAACACAGGCAGCCTCCCAAAACCGGGAAAGTGCAACATCAAGACTCAGACAAACACAACGACAAAGCTCAGTCACAAGGAAAACACGCCGACGACGAGGACCCGATTGCGGCATTAAAAGCCCTCAAGGCTTTGAAACAAAAGAAGTCCAGCAAATCCGAATTGAAGATCGTCAAGGAGTCCGAGCTCGAGAGTGAATCGGACCTCAACAGCGACGATCCCTCTAGTGAAGATGGCTTCGATGGGTTTTCCGACGATGAAAGTAATTCAAATATGCGGAAGCCTCATAGCAAGAATCTGGGATCTGACATTCGTATTGTGAAGGAAGATGATCTCGACTCGGACAATTTCTCAGAAGATTTCGAGACCGACCTTGAAGAGCAAGATGGAGAATATGACAGTGACCCATTGGCTGCTCTTGCGAAACTCAAGCACAAGAAATCCTCGAAACAAGCGCCTCAGAGTGAAAGCGAAGACGGGTTTCCGGATGAGGACTCGGATCAAGGTGACTTATCTGACAATGACTTCGATAGTGGAAATGAAGATTTAGAAGAAGAGCGAGACCCGCTAGCAAAACTCAAAGCTTTGAAGGAAGCCAAAAAGAACGGCGCCAACCACGCCGATGACTCGAAGAAGAAAAGCAAACAGCGCAAGGAAAAGATCATCGAGGCCACCTTTGGCGACGACAATATTGACAGAGATATGGAGTATTACGCCAAGAAGCTAGGACTCAAAAATGGAAAAAAGTCAAAACTCACAAAGCTCGACGACGACGACATTGTGGGTGGTCTTCTCGATGGCTTGGATCTTGACTTTTCGGACGACGAGGGAGATATCCAGGAAGAAGCAGAACTGGGCGAAGATTCTCTTGACTACTCCGATGACTTCTCTGACGATAGTGGCTCTGAGGAAGAGACACACAAGAAAGAAAACCCGTTTGTGGCTCCCGTGCTGGACCAGGAGAGTGATGGTGGGAATCTGGACGAAGAATCTAAGCCTTCAAAGTACATTCCGCCAGCCATGCGCCGCAAGCTTGCGCTCGAAAGTTCTGGTGTCTCTGCTGAGACACTAGCGCTTCAAAAGTCAATCAAGGGACCCATCAACAAGCTTTCAGAGGCTAATATTGGAACCATTGCCAATGAAATCAACGGTCTTTTCCTCACCAATCCAAGACAATCAGTCAACGAGAACTTGACCACGATTCTCATGGATAGTGTCATTCAACAAGGTAGATTGTTAGATACTTTTGTCTATCTTCACTCTGCATTGGTAGTTGCTATTTACCGTGCACAAGGCGTGGACTTTGGCGCACATTTTATTCAGAGTCTAGTGGAAAAACTTGAGTCCTCACGCGTGGATGCTTCGAAATCAAAACAGGCTCTCAATACGGCTTCTCTCCTTTCTTCTGTCTACGCATTCCAATTGGTCTCATCCAAACTCTTGTATGATCTTATTCGCGATCTTATCCAGGATCTCTCCGAGTCAAACGCCGAGATTTTGCTTAAAATTATTCGTACTTCGGGAAATCAAATGAGAGCCGACGATCCTGGCGCTTTGAAAGAGATCGTGCTTTTGGTGAACAAAAGCGCCTCGGCGCAGTCCAAAATTAGTCCTCGAATGCAATTTTTGATTGATACAATTGCCTCATTGAAGAATAACAAGCTCAAATTGGAGAATGAGGCAAGTCACCAACTAACAATCCGCCTCAAGAAGTTCTTGGGTAATTTCATACTGGGCAAATCCGCGGACCCACTTCAAGTGTCTCTTGATGACATTCGCAACATCGAAACAAAAGGTAAATGGTGGTTGGTTGGATCTGCTTGGAAAGGGCTTGACGAGAAAAACCAAGCTCTTGCTAATATCGAGATGGTCAACGATGTTTTGGATAGTGCTGAACCCAATTGGTTGGAATTGGCCAAAACACAGAGAATGAACACCGATATCAGAAGAGCAATCTTTATTTCAATCATGTCCGCCAACGATTACATTGATGCTGTCACTAAACTTGATAAATTAGCCTTGAAAAAAGCACAAGAAAGAGAAATTCCGCGTATTGTTGTGCATTGCGCAGTGGTGGAACCAGCTTGGAATCCCTACTATGGAATTTTGGCTTCCAAACTTTGTGATTCTCATTCCTACAGGAAAACATTTCAGTTCATGTTATGGGATCTTGTGAAAGGTTTTGATGGCAATGATGGGAGCGACGACGAGGAAGATGTATTTACTGGGTTCGATGATTCTGAGAGCGATGACGACAAACTAAAGAAAATCTTGAACTTGGGCCGTCTTTATGGCAATTTGTTTGCGGAGGGTTCTTTGGCTCTACACATCCTAAGAACCGTGAATTTTGTGTCTGCTTCTGCCGATGTTAAGCTTTTCATGGAGATCCTCTTAGTCACATTCCTTGATCAAATTGCCAAGAAATCCCAAGTAAACTCTATCGGCGTTGGTCTTGTCGGCAAGAAAGGTATGTCTGAGCAAAAATTTGACGACCGCACTTTAATTGAGCGCATCTTGAAAGCAAAAGACGAACCTGGCTTACTCAAAGGCATCAGTCATTTCATCTCCCGCAATCTTCGTGACAGTCACTTTATTACTGGCAGAAAACAGAGAAAGAGGGTCGAATGGGGTATTAAGTCTATGACTGACATCATCGAAGAGATTGTGAAAGAGACGGAATTCTAGAAATGTATATACAGCCGGGCTTCGAGATCTCATTTTCGAAGTAGTAATAAATAATTTGGATATTCGAGATATAGCAGAATCACCAATTCTAGCATCACTCTTGTAGCTCTAGAACCGCAACTGATTCGACATGTTTTGTTTGAGGATAAAAGTCAAAACCAGTGATTGTTTTGACCTGATAATTAACACCCAGCCGATCCGCAAAAGTTTGAAGAGACGCTAAGTCTCGCGCTTGTGTGAAGACATTACAGCTGACATAAATGATGGCTTTGGGCCTGAAATCCACCAATTGCTGAATAAACTCATCTGTGGAACCTTTTCTAGAAGGGTTCATGATAACGACGCTGTTGCTTCCATGAACACCTGAGCCTAAAAAGTTGCCGTCAGTAAAGATGGAATCAGAATTTCCCGACACAAACATCATTTTTTCAGGCATTGGGATCCCATTTATACCTGCGTTATGCTTAGCATATTCAATAGATTTTTTTGAGATTTCGATGCCAAATACTTTACCATCTTTTGGGAGTTGGCTCGACAAAGAAATCCCGAGAAAGCCAGATCCGCAATAAGCATCAACAATGTGTTTGAAGTTGACATGAGACAAGTGGAAGCTTATAAAATCAATGAATGTCGGCAAAATTGACCGATTGTTCTGGAAAAACTCGTTGGCTTCAAACTGAAATACGAACTCCTTCACTTTTTCGGTAACAACATTGTTTCTTTGCGTTAAACACACATTTGTGTACTCACCGGTAGCATGATTGATTCTTATACTGTCCCTGAGAATAAAGTCTGGAGCAACTTTTATTTTGGACTTGGACTCCAATTTTGCAGCCAATTTATCATTGAGTTGCTTCTTGAGTTCGGGGATGACAGCGTTTATTGGACTAGTGGCGATTGGACAATGGTTAATGTCAACAATAGGATTTCCAAGGACTGCATTGTTGAATCCGACAGGTACTGGGAGAAATTCCATCCCAAATTTCTTAGGAACAACAGTATGTGGAGTAAGCTTCGTCCGATATGAAAATTGCATTGGAGAATCGACAACAAGGCCAAAGCCTTCAACCTTGGAGCAGTCTAGTTTTGGATAGAAATATTTGTATGCTCTTTTAATGATGTCCAGTTTGAATTCTAGCTGATTCTCGTATGGAAGCATCTGGAGCTGGCATCCACTACATTGACCAAAGTGCTCACAAATGATGAGCTTGTCATTTCTGAGACCTTTTCTGACTGGAGCTCGAGACACACTAACAAGCTCTGCCTCTGCATAATAATCATGATGCCTCTTGAGTAAGGCTGTGGAAACATCACCGGGTACTGCTTTCGGTAGTTTTATAACAGTCTTTACTTCTGGATCAGTACATTGATCATCATAAGCACTTCGTGGAACTAGACCCAACCCTTCTCCTTCCGAAGACATAGAAATAACCTGAATATCTTTGATAAGAACCAGCTCTCTATTTTTCGACTGAAGGAATTTGTAAATTAAATGCTCGGGAACACGTACTTGCTCTAGAGTAAGTTTCACATGTTTCAAAAAAGTGCCTATATCCTTATGAAGAATGTGGTCACGCGAGGTAAAGTCAGATGTTCCACGTTTTGTCTTTTTTTTTAACAATGTACTAAGCGCAGAGCTAGCATAATCACATTTGGTGACGTATGTATTGGAAACGCTACCCCATCTTGTTGTTCGGAAAAACATTGCCCAGAGACATGACTTAGGACATCATCGCGATTTTAGCGGATGGAATCTGCGCGAAAATACTTGTGACGCCGCAAGAACTTTGCACCATGCCCAATTCGGTTGCTTCACCCCTTTAACTTTCACGATATCATGAAGAGGCTAACGCTGGCCCTTCTGGTTGTAACTCAATTTCATGGGGCTCGTCACTATACCTTCTCAAGTCAAGCGAAATGGTGCGTGAACTGTTTTCTCTCTGCTCTCTGTAGATTCCAATCAAAGCATCTGAGTTCTCAAACAAAGAGCTTTTCAACGAGATGACAATGAACTGAAAGCCCGGACCAGCATGCCTTTTAATGTAGTTTGCAATCTTGTCGACGTTCAGATTGTCAAGAGCAGCATCAATTTCGTCTAAGACAAAAAAAGGTGAGGGATGGAAAGAATGTATGGCAAACAAGAGTGACAAAGCCGCCATGGTTTTTTCTCCTCCTGAGAGCAAGTCCATATCCCGGAACCTCTTCATTGGCGGCATGGCGTGATATCTGATTCCTGCAGCATATGGTTCATCTTCGTCTTCTAAGGTTAAGTCTGCGGAGCCTCCAATGGGGGATGTGCTGGACTTTGTGAGCTCTTTGTACACCCTATCGATGTTTTCCGATATATGGGTAAACGCTTCCATGAAACGTTGAGTTCTTAGAGCCTTTATCTCGTTGAATTTCGTTGTTGAGCGTTTTTCATCTTGTCTTGCCTTAGTGAATTCTCTGTCAAACTCTTTGATTCTCTGATCTACCTCTTTCAATCTCTCAATTGCTTTGCTATTCGGAGTGAGAACTTCGAGCTCCGTCTGGATATTATCAAGCTTCACAGTTATCTCAGCCTCAACTTTGGGCGAAAAGCTTTCCTGGAGCTTTAATTCAAGCAATCCGTAATCAACGTGAATCAGATATGCCTTCACTGAAACGTTCCCCGGTTCATCGTCGAGAGAAATCGATTCCAAGAAGCCTTCTTCTAGCGGAAGATCGACACTTTCGATTTTGCAATTCTTGAGCATGTTGATCCTTTCTGTGTCAACCTTCAAAAGAAACTCTTTGCAGCTGGCCAACTCTTCGCTTAGTGTCTTAATCTCCAATTTATCCTCTTCCATATCCTCTACTAAACTGTTGCTTTCCCTCATAAGCTTACTTAGCTGAGCTCTTGATGCTTCACTCTCTTGAGTAAGTTGTTCGAAATCCTTCTCCAATTCTTCCATCATCTCTGTTTGATGAGAAAGATTGTCATTAACTCTCTGTAGATCAGATTGAATTCGTGATTGAGAATCAATTAGGCGTTGAATTCTGATTTCCATATCATCTATGCTTTCGATTTGAAATGACAAGCGGTTCTTGCAAACAGAGACAACTCTTTGCAATTCTGCTCTTTTTCTTGCACGCGCCCGTATTTCAGTACCCAAGAAGAACTCGTATTGACTGATGCTTTCGAGGTTATACTTCTGACAAAATTCGAAATAAATCTTGACTTGGAGTCCAGTAATTTCACTCTGAACTTCCAAAAGTTGATGGTTCATATTGGTCAACGATCTCTGAGTATTTTCTTCTTTTGTCTCAATTTCAGTGATCATCTCTTTCTGGAAAGAGATTTCATGATTCCTTTCGGATATTTCTCTTTCAAGACTGACAATTTTACTTTTCAAGCTGGGAATCTCCTCATCTATGAGACGAATTTCGTCCACAATGTCGTTTAAATAAAATGCACTTGGTTTCTCGGACTGGAGTTTCGCAAGATTTTCACTAAGTTCTTCCTTTTCCTTCTTCAACCTCAGCCATTCTTGTTTACTCCAAGTAAGAGCATTTCCTGATTTTGCCTGTTGTCCTCCAGACATGAGACCAGAAGTATGAATGATGGAGCCATCCAATGCAACCATTTTGTTACCCACTTGATGTGACAGGTTCCATTTTAAGTCACGCGCGATATCCAATTCATCGACAATGATTGTGTTGCCCAAAGCAAACTGTACAGCTCTTTCAAGAGATTGGTCATCATATTTCACCACATCGAGCGCTGGACGTGCGCCCTCGTCAAGCGAACGGAGGTAGTTCAAATTGATTTGATCAGTGACGACGGAGTCCAATGGAATGAAAGTAGCTGTTCCAGCACGGCGCTCTTTCAATATCTCGATGCACTTGTATGCCACGGCGGTACTCTCAACAACAATGGAATCGAAGTTGCGGCCAAGAGAAGTTTGGAGTGCCAAATCATATTTCTGCTGCGAGCAACGAACAAGTTCGTACATGAGACCCTTGATTGATCCTTCTTTTACTAAGTTTCGTAGCATGGACACGTTATCACGTAGCTTCTTCTGTTTGTTTGACTCGTTTTGTTGAGACGATAACTCATCTAGACGGGTTGAAGCACGGTTAATTTTCGTGGTCAAGTCTAGCTCGCGGTATGATATTTCCTTTAACTTGTCTGTTACGTCTTCTTTTTCTTTTATCTTGATCACTCTCTCGCCGATAAGATCATCAAGCTTAGACTTAGTTTGAGAAAGGGTTGACACGAAGTTGCTGCGAATTTCGCTCTCAAGCTCAGAGATTCGAGTGGTTGCATCGTTCTTCTGATCTGTATAATTCTGCATGGAAGATACTAGAGATTCCTTGTCGCTGCTCAACATTGTAAGCTTTTCTAACATCGATGAACCTGAATTTGCCAAAAATTTCTGATGCAAAGCCTCATACTCTGCCACCCCCCCTGGAGGTATATTGATACTATCTGAGGATTCCTGTACTTCCTTTTCAAACTGAGCCAAATCAGACTCGGCGGTCGACAAACGTTGCTCCCCGGCTTCCTTCAAATCCTGGAGATTCTGAAGGTCGGTCTGTAGATCCCGGAGCTTCAAAGACGCCAGGGTGATACTGGACTCTAGAGATCTTTTACTCGAAGCGATGGGAAGGAGCGCTCTTCTGACGGTTTCGGCAGCATTTGCCTTTTCATTTTTCTCCGCCTCAAGTTTTTTGCTTGCAAGAGTGGCTTTTGAAACTTCCGCTACCGTCGACTTTTGAGCAGCAATTTTCGCGGAGTGCTGTGCTTTTACTTCGTCAAGCTTATCAGAAATTCTTCTCAGGTCCGCCACAAGCATATAATGACGTTTTTGGTTATGGAAGATCCGGTAGAGGTGCAAAATCTTGATGAGGCTGTACTTCTCATTTAACTTAGACTCAAATAAGTCTTGCTCACGCATTTGCTCTTTATACTGTTTGGATTCGGAGTTCAAGGTCCTCTTGCGAGAGAAGACCTGGGTGGCAACCTCACGTGCACGCTCCAGATCTTCCTTCAACTGATCATACTCAGCGGCGTACTCAATAGAGCCACTGATGGTTTCGATCAAATTCGCCAAATCCTTTGCCGACTGGGACGCAACGTTCTCGATATCCCCTTGGAACACCAAAAAGTTACGTGCCTTCACCAAGATGTTTTCTGCTCTTAGCGCCATAGAGTACTGCAAGGCAGTCACGTTTTTATCGTTGAGCCTATAATCCGAGCTTCCGCTTGAATTTATCACCCGCTTGAGTGTGAGCATCTCCCCCGAGTCCTTCTCGTAAAACGCACATACATACGCCGATTTGGCTTTCAGAGACGGCGCCAAATTGTCGGTGCCATCGATGCGGCCACGATAAATAAGGTCCTTGAGCTGGTGCGATCTTAGATGCGATGACTGCACGCCCAAAACAAACGAAATGGCATCCATCATGTTGGATTTCCCAGCGCCATTGGGGCCTATAATGGACGTGAAAGACGCGTCACCAAACCCGATTTTCGCCGTGCCTTTATACGACTTGAAATTGTGGAGCTCAAGCCCAACTAGACGGCCCATTTTTTCTGACGAGTTGTGATCTTTTTGTTGCCGAAAGTCAGATTGCTGTACAAGATTTCGTCAATTTTTAGTACGGCTAGTTTTTATCCTTTTGAAACTGTGTTGTGGATACGCGTGGGGACAGGAACGCGCGTCCAGTGGAGCGAGAATTTTGGATGAGCTCTTTGCTCGAGACATTCAGAAGTTGCACGAGCTTCTGATTTCCTTGAGGAGGATGTTTTCTTTTGTCAATTTTTGAAAAGCTCTTTAAGTTAGACAGCTGCATTGGAGCAAGAGTCTGGAAATGAACCATTTACAATTCAAGTAAATCATATAATGTTAAATGTGAATTATTTTTACGCAAAAGGTTTACAAGAATTCGAAATTTGCAAATTGTTGTGATTGCCCTTTCTCTTCAGCACTTTCTACAAGACATTTAAAGGGTTTTTTTTTTCTGGTTCAAGTTTATTGAACTCCACATACAAGAACATTGCATTATTGTTTGGTCAGAAAATAACCAATACTCCGGATTGTGACTGACTAACAACGCACTACCTGTATCGCAACGTTGATATAATCTGTTGGAAAAATTTATAGTGAACACCACTGGCGTGTCGAGCTTTCAAAACACCTGACCAACAGACATAAACCCCAGAGTTCTCACGTGACATATAGAATGTTTCCCTATTTCGGGATTAACGGAAGTAGCACCGTTGGCTCTTATGGGGTAAACTGTATATAGCTGACGTAAAGCCGGATATAATGAGAATCCGATAGTAAACCCATATTTAGTCTGGCTGGTCCGGCTGTGGCGCAAAATCGTTACCCAGATTTTAAGGGCCGTTTTAGAATAATCGCAGATCGGCACACGAAATCGAATTTTCCCTGAGTTTCTTGCCAGTTAAGGATAAAGGCGAATTATGTCCTTGACCCAGATGCCCTCTAATTTAGCAGACTGAGTCGCGCTTATCTTCAGACTGCCTACAAGGGAAAGCCGTATACCGCAAAGGGCTATATTTGGCGCGCCGTCACCTACATCTAGACGGCATCCCATGACCTAATCCGGTAGGCCAATTGGCCCCGGCTCGTACGGCTCCACATGATTGCCATACCATAAAAACACCCCGCTGTTAGGCAGACTTTTTTTCCAGCGCTTTAAACTAAATTTGGTCCTCTTTTTTTTCTAGGGCCGCCAGAAAATTTCACGCTTTGTACTGAAACATGGAGAAATCTCCACTTCTTGACGAGCCGGTAGAGACCGGGCCAGAAACCAGCTGGCGATCGCTTCTTTCCAGCACCATAGCCAAACCGCTTCAATGCATATCTTCCATTTCGCTAGGGGATGGAAGCACGCACTCTTCATTTCAGTCTGGCCTAGACGCAGACTCGAGAATCGAGGCCCTCATTGCACTGGAGCAACCCCTGGACTCAGAGCCACTTCCACAATTACCTTTTTCGGATTGCACGGTGAAAAGCTCGCTCACGGTAGAGAAAAAGCTCTTGAAAATCCGGCAGTTAATGAAGGTCCACGGCGTGGCTGTATACATTGTGCCCAGCGAAGACGAGCACCAGTCAGAAGAGACAGCTTTGGCCGATAAAAGACGCGAGTTTTTGTCTGGCTTCACGGGCTCTGCTGGGCTTTGTGTCGTCACGCTTGATAGCGACACGAACCTCGAGGGCGAGGCCGCCTTGTCCACCGATGGCCGGTACTTTTTACAGGCAGAAAAGCAGCTCGACTCGCGCTTCTGGCGCTTGCTCAAACAGGGCGTGAGAGGGCACCCCTCCTGGCAGGAATTTGCGTTGTCAAAGGCCGCCGCAAGCAAGTTTTCCTCTGTTATCTCATGTGACCCCAAGCTCTTGAGCTTCGAAATGGGCGAGTACCTCATGCTGGCTCTGGCTGAGAGGGGCGTCAAGTTCAAGCCCATTCTAGACTTGAATTTTGTCGACGCGGTGTGGGGCACGGACAAGCCGGCCCGGTCTTTGGAGCCCGTCTATCTGTTGCCCCTTGAATATTCGGGTGAAGAAAGCACCAGGAAAATAGCTAGGATCCGCAACCAGATGCACGGTCTTGGCGCCTCTCACTTGGTGATCTCTGCTTTGGACGACATTGGCTGGTTGCTCAACTTGAGGGCGGACGAGGACATTCCGTTCTCTCCGTTTTTCTTCAGCTACTTGATTTTGACCCACGACTACGTGTGGCTCTACGCCAATGAAGTAAAGTTGGCCAATGTAGAGCAACACTTAGCAGAGATCAGTGGCCTAGTTGTCAAGAAGTATAACTTCTTCTACCCGGACTTGACCACCTTAAGAGCCACCGTCAAACACCCAAACATCAAGATCATCCTTCCTGACAAAGGTGCATGCAACTACGCTTTGCTCGACTCGATCCCCAACTCTCTGGCCAAGCGCTCAATTATACATCTGTCCATTGTGTCTGTCACAAAACTTTTCAAGAACCCCACTGAATTGCACAATGCTAATGTAGCGCACTCGAGGGACTCGCTTGCATTCATTGTCTTTTCAGCATGGTTGGAAAATCAGCTAGTTCACAGGCGCAAGAAGGTGCTGGAGTACGAGGCAGCCCAGAAAATCTACGCCATTCGCTCTCAGTTTCCTAACTTCAAGGGCTTGTCGTACGAAACCATCTCTTCCACGGGAGCCAACGCGGCCATTATCCACTATGCCCCTACGAAGAAAGAAAACTCCGTCATCGATCCCAAAAAACCATATCTCTTGGACTCAGGAGCACATTATCTCGAGGGAACCACAGACATCACGCGCACATACAAATTTGGTGACGCCGGGTTGACTGACGACTACAAAAAATACTACACCTTGGTGTTGAAAGGCCATTTGGCAGTTGCCATGGCAAAATTTCCTGCTGGCTCAAGAACAACCGGGACGGTGCTAGACGCGTACGCTAGGCAACCGCTTTGGAATGAGGGCTTGGATTTCAACCATGGGACAGGGCACGGTGTGGGAAGTTTTGGAAATGTGCATGAGGGCCCATTATATATCCTGACAACTTCTGGAGGCGTGAGTACCGCTGATTACTTTAAGAAGGGTGCAATAGTAAGTGACGAGCCGGGGTTCTATATCGATGGGGAATGTGGGTTCCGTATTGAAAGTGAGCTTGCAGTCATCGAATGCAGCCCAGCCTTTGGAAAGACACGCAGCGGGGGGAAATATCTTGGTTTTCAATACTTAACCAAAGTCCCCTTTTGTTTGAAGCTCATTGACAAGAGATTCTTGACCCCAATTGAAATCAAGTGGATCAATGATTTCAATGCCAGCTTGAGAGAAGAGTTCGGCTCGAAATTATTGAAAATGGGTGACAAGAGGGCTTATGGATGGTTGCTAAAAGAGACACACCCCATATAAATCAGAGTAGAGTGTTTTGACTGTGTATTAATACATGTGAAGAATTGAAAAAAATCGACCTTAATTCAGTCTAAAGGACGTCGAGTAGAGAGTAGGAAACCCAATGTTGTTTGGCCTATTGGCGGGTTTAGAAAACCCAGGCCTTTGGAGGCCACCGCCCTTCTTGAGACTGCTTGGTTGATGGCTGGACGCTTCAACACCAACCTTGTTTGAAATAAACGGCGAGGTAATTTTTGGAATGGGCTCGACGTATTCTCTTCTTGAGTTATCCACTTTGAATAGCTCCGGGTCGGTGACATTTCCGGGCGTTTTGTACAGTGGCATCTTCAAACCGCTAGTGGTTCTCCATGAGTTGACCGAGGAAGATGAGGTAAAAATGTCTCTTTCGCTTTCGGAAATTTGGCCTCCGGTGTCTTTCACATCAGTTTCATTGCTTGTTTTACGTCTCTTGTCAAGTGAACTCAGGAAATCAATACCTAAACGCTTTTGTGACTCACGCAAGGCATCAAGGGTCGAAACAGAAGAGGAGTTGAAGTTTTTCAAATTGGAAACCTTCTGAAATAGTTCTTCTTGCGTCATTTCAGGTGCACCTGTTGGTGTTAACTGATTGTCCTCGCGCTTTATAAGAAATAAAAACTTTCTAGACGCTCCAGATCTCATGGCTTGGTCAAAAATAGAGCTTAAAGTCAGGGAGATCAGATCAAAGATCGCCAGCGAATCCGTGATATTTAGCTCTTCGGCACATGCTGAGGCAACAACGGCAACTGTAGATGAAACTGCCATGAATACGCCACTTGGATCCTCATCATGGCCGCACTCCGTTACTAAATTAAAAGTTTCAGAGATTCTTTTGACGAGAACCGGATGGTGAGACGAAGATTCGTCGGATGGCGGTGGACTTTCGGCTTTGACTTCGTCCTTTTTCTGCCGGTTAATGCGACGTGTTCTTCTCCGCAAATATTCCTTTTCAATCCATTCCAGTTTATCGTCCGAAGAACCTTCACCAAATTTGAGTGCAGCTCTTTTGAGCACCCGGCATCTTAAGTCATTGTCTTTGTTTCTCTCGGCGTTTTCTTCACGCCACTTTTTTTTCCTCTCTCGATTGCCTTCTCTGACACGACTCTTTTGCTCATTTGAGTCTAGTTCTGGTTTCACACCATTCATGACCATGCGAAGGCGCTGTATGTCCAATTCAGAGAGGATAGACAGCGTGGCACCATAAAACAGAGCTACATCTTCCCCCAACTTTTTGGGAATTGGCTCACTGGAAGATGATTCATGTGAATCTTCTTTCGCAGACTTATCTTTTCGTGGATCAACTGATATCAAGATATTAACGAGTAAAGCCAGTGCCTTGCGTCGGTTATCATCGCCAGACATGCTGAGGACAAACCGATTTGCTTCCTGTAATCGAGTGATATAATACGTTTTGTCAGGAGAATTCTTTATGAGCTTTATTGCTTCAAGAGCCGCCTTGTTGTAACTTGCAGGAAACGTCTTATTGAGCATCAAAGCATTCGTCATTTGCCTGATGACCTGCATCAAATTTGAAGAATGAGTTCCTGATTGAATATGCTGGGACAACGAGGAGAGGATTGTCGATAATTGGGGATGGTTTTGAGAGGAGGGCTGGAAAGCTGCCCGTTGGCTTGGCCCAATGGAGTCTTCTAGGGACTCAATGGTGGAATAGTCTCGTTGGGAGGTGCTCATATTTGACCGGTGTAGCGCCAAAGTTTGCGCAATTGAAAGAGGCTTTTGAGCCGTCAGAGCCGCTTGTTCTTTTTGAAGATGAGCTACAAGGCGGGGTTCCTCTTTTTTGCCATAAACCTTTCTGTCTGATAAAGTTGTAGTGGTTACATCCGAGGTAACCAGTTGGGTGAGAGGTTCACCATTTGTCTTTGAGATCTCAGCCTCTAATTCTTCGGCTGCGTCCAAAGATGTAAGAAGATCCTGCGGATTTTGCATTGCCATATTGAAGGCATTTTGAAGAATCTCGCTCATTTGCGATTGCTCTAAATCCGGCTCCTTCTCGGATGCAAGATTCGCAACACTTGTCAGCAAAGTGTTTCCACCAGGGAACGCACTTTTGACTGCGTTTGCGACAGCAGCTTTCAACGCCGCATCCAAATCTTCAGGCTGTTCGAGATTAGAGTCAGCATGTGGGAGCGTTTGCGTGTGGGATGATGCGTTGTCTTCATGGAGGCCAGTCGGATGGGAAGGCTCCGGTGTATGGACCTGATTGCTGATTTCAGAGGCCAAACTTTCCAAGATGTCCTTGGATATCGACGACAGATGCAGATGCAGTTGCATTGGGTCTGTGGAATGGTCCGAATTTCCAATTTGCAGGACGACGCTTTGAACAATATCGCCTAGGTCTATTTCCACGTGTCGGTGGTTCAGTTCATGTTCTACGTTGCCAGAAGTTGGCTGATGGACCCTTTGAGGCGAGCCAGAGTACTCCCAGCTCTCAGAGTTCAGTGGGCTTAGATTAGGGTCCTGATTAGAAGTGCTCTTCTTGTGTTCTCCGAGATCATGCGCCAAAGACTGGAACGCTGCCCCAATTGCATCCTCGAGATTTGTGTCATCAAAATCTTCTCCTTCATTGTGTTCGCTTTCTGGTTGGGAAGAATCCGGTGTAATTCTAGGAGAAGTTTGCACGTCGGGAGACATGTCTGGAACAAGATTCTTGAAGGCGTCGCCTATGGCGCTTTCCAAATTCTCGCCGTCGCCATTGTTTGACGCTGGGCCAGCTTGGATTACTGCACTTTCACTGTCCAAATTTGAGACTTGGTTTGCAGACAATTCTTCTTTGAGATCATGAGCCGGCGTACTAGTGTGACTTTTTCCAGACTTCTGGCCACGAGAGCTAGCAGAATATTTCACATCACTCTCAGACTCTGGCAGTGCGATAGAGGCATGCGTGGAGTCAGGAGCTTGTGACTCGTGATGATCAGAGGGACCATTTGTGGGTTTGGAAACATGTGATGTCTTCTTTTCAAATACAGAGTCGGATTGGGAGGTTCTTGCAGGGATTTCATTTCCCATTGCAAGGTTGCGACATTCCAAATTGCTTTTCAGATCCTGACATTGCGCCCGGTGTAGTTGTTGTGGATCTTGTTCTTTTCCAAGGTTTGTGCCAGCATTCATTTCATAAGAGTGTGAATCCTTACTTGTTCGATTTTCGCTGTCTGCATTTACACAGTCAGTCGTGAGAGTCTTTTCCGGGCTGCCGGAAACGTCTTCTTTTGAGAGGGACGTGAATAGGGTGTCAACAACATTGTCTAGGTCCATGTCCAGAATAGCTACATTTTCACCAGAATGCTCCTTAGGTTCACTGTTTAAAGGAGAGGAGCCATCGACATTTGCAGCAGAATTCTGAGAGTTGATTTGATGATGTTCGGAAGAGTCGTGGTTGTTTTCTTCACCAAACATGGCAAATTGCTTGAAAGCATCACCGATTGCATTTTCTAGTGCCAAGTCGTCGGTGCCAATCTGATGAGAATGTGTGGTTTCGCCATTTTTGCCATCTTCGGGGCCTGGGCCATGTTCAAAATGTGTGTTTGCACTGTTTTGGTGATGTTGCAGGGCATCATGTGCCGGTGTCATGGCGGGGTAATCGGGTAGACAATATGTATGAGTAAGTCACAAGATGATTGTGACTGTTTTTTTTTCGGTTGGTGAAGGGACCCGCGCACGATGAGCCGGCACGCTCTGTGTGCAGGCACACATAGATCTGATGCTGTTCTTGCTGGAAGCCAGCCTAAGCCCGGGGCCTTAGGGGTGGGATTTATAGCTTAGGCCTTGGTCCAAGAATGATCAGCCAGTGGCTGGGTAACACGAGGTGGATTTATTGCCGATGGCCGGCAGACTCGAGTCACGTGACGGCACACGTAGATCTGGAATTGCGAGCGCGCCACTGCATGGCCATAATGTTGTTTATGTTACATGCTGGGGAGATCGGGTTAAAACTGTAGAAGAACGAATTTTGCAAAGGGTGCAGGGCCGTGGCTAAATTCTGCCAAATCTCAGCAAAGGCATTTGCTGATGACTCTGACCATGGTCCTGGTATGGGCGAGTATACGTTGATATTGTTGTATAGAGTTGGACGGCTGGTTAATTTAGGCTGGAACGCTCGGTCTACTGATTATACTTTATAATTGAGTCACAGCTTACTACTATGCGCTTGAAAAGCCTGTTACCTCTGATATTGAACGGCGTGCAACACTTTTTCGATGGTGGCAGTATGAGATGATTCTTGTAGAGCACCATGTTTAACAGGGTGACGGAGCAAAAACTTTCTGAGCAGAATTCCGGGGCATCCGTTGTTTCATAGTCTTACGTCGTTTGGTTCCGGCAAACGCCCAATTGAAATGGGCCATACTGGATTCAAACAATGCGCGGTAGATCATGATAGAGATACTGATTAGCCATCGAGGGCATTCATGAGCCCATTTTTGCATCGTAGATAGTATTGCAACTCCAGAATGCACTGAGCGCTTGACTGACCCGCGTTGCAGGTAGCTAGTCTAGGCGGCCCTCCATCAGAAAACAGCCCATGATATAGCTTCAAGCAAGATACATACATTGCAGCCTGAGAAGCCAGGATATTGTTTGAAATCGCCTATTCCTGAAAGGGTCTGTGGACCTCACGCATTACTCTGAAATTGGGGCTCAAAGCCCTGTGTCGTATGTCGCGCAGCATATAACGGTAGGGCTCATCTAGCGGTAGCAATAATTTAACGGTGGCAATAATTTAACGGTAGCACCAATATAACGGTAGCACCAATATAACGGTAGCACCAATTTAACGGTAGCACTAATATAACGGTAGCACTACTTCAACGGCGCACCAATTTAACGGCATCACTGATGTACCGGTAGCACTAATATAACGGTAGCACTAATATAACGGTAGCACCAATATAACGGTAGCACTCATATATCGGTAGCACCAATATAACGGTAGCATTAATGGCCTCAGGAAGCTGGTGTGGCGGATTGCGCGTGATACCTGATCAAGTGCCTGAGTCCTAAAGAAAGCTGATTTAGAGTTGTATTTTTTCGGAAGGGCTGGTGTTTGCCTTTTTCGCCAGCTGAGGCCGCTGTGCAAGATTCTGTGTGGAAGACGGGATAGAATATCAGTGCGTTGTGTTGCCCAGGCAATTTCCACCTGGTGCCTTCATGCGAGATCGCCCAAGCCGGGTGCGCTTGCTGGAGCACCAAGTGTACTGTATCGAGAGCGTGAAACGTTGATTCTACCGAACCGCAGAGGCGTAATTTGAAGCCGTGTCCGAAGGAAACAACCAGGAACATTTCTGTTGGGACACGTTTTTGGCGTGTTCACAATGGTGTTATATTCAAACTTATATTTGTAATGTCATACATCCTTCTATTTAAATATATAATAAACTTGTGTTGTTTTAATAACTATGTTTTAATAACTATGTTTTCACACGCTCTTGCGCAATACGTCGCTAGGGCCTGCGGCCCTGGGAGGCTCTGGGAGGCCCTGCGAAAAGCGCACCGGGGCTCGGTGCAACGAAAAGAGCGGGCCGGCAGACTCGTTCTGGATCCAGCTTCTTTCCACAATCGCTATTCCGGGCATCATTGGCAATGTCTTTGAAAAGATTTCGGGGCGGCGTGTGATTTGCCGGGGTCCAGTTTGGGCCGTCGACCAGGCCAAGTGCGGCGGGCCAGATGGAGCGCCAGGCCCATTTCCCGCGCCGCGCCAGAGGGCCAGGGAAAACCGCGCCAATTCAGAGACCGAGCCAGTTGAAAGGCCGCGCCAATTTAGGGCCAGATGAAACACCGGCCCAGATGAGAGCTCGGCCATACCAGCAATCAGGCCGCACCAACAGTCAGGCCAGCCACCGGAACCAGAGCCCCTTCGCCCTGCGCCCGCCTGCTCCAGCAATTCCCCAAAGGCCGCTTTTCTTTTCGCCAAAGGCCGCTTTTTTTTTTTTGCCAAAGGCCGCTTTTTTTTTTTGTCAAAGGCCGCTTTTCTTTTCGCCCAAAGGCCGCTGTTTTCCGCCTGCTGGAGCCCCCCGCGCCCAGGGCCAGCTCCGGCCTGGCGCCAGGCCCTGCGACTGCGGGCGCGGTCTGCAGTCGGCTTTTCGCCACAAGGCTGCTCCCGGCACCTACGTCCGTCATACCCTCTGGCTCCGCAGACTCACCCCCGCAGACCATGAAGATCAAATTCAGAGACTTGAAGAAGCTCACCGTCGAGGTCGACGCACAGCCCTCGGACTCCGTATGTCTCGCCTTTCCGCCCTTTCCCTTCCTTTCGCTCCCATTCCCTCCCCTTCGCTTCCTTTCCCTCCCCTTCCATCGCCCTCCTGACCCAGCCTTTTGGCATGGCCTGGCCCCCCTTGCGCCAGACCCGCCCGCCTCTCCCACACCACCCCTTTTCGTTTTCTCTACTAACATCCACAGGTGCTTTCGGTCAAAGAAAAAGTCGCCGCGGCCAAGGACGTCGACGCGCTGCAGTTGAAGTTCGTCTATTCGGGCAAGGTGCTCCAGGACGACAAGCTCGTGCTGGACTTCAAGATCAAGGACGGCGACTCCGTGATCACCATGGTGTCCAAGGCAAAGGTAGCCACAAACACGGCTCCCACAAACACGGCTCCCACAAACACGGCTCCCACAAACACGGGGGCCACGAACTCGACAGCCACGAACTCGACAGCCACGAACACGGCGGCCACAACCACGGCGCCCGGCGGCAGCCAGAGCCCCAGCTCGGCCGCAGACTTTGCCGCGGGCCTGGAGCGCGAGGCCGCGGTCCAGAACATGATGGAAATGGGCTACGACAGGCCGGAGATCGAGCGTGCGTTGCGGGCCGCGTTCAACAACCCGCACCGCGCGGTGGAGTACTTGCTTTCGGGGATCCCCGCGTCGTTGCAGGCGCCGGAGCCGGCGGAGGCCGGCGACGCCGAGGCTGACCGGGCCGGGCCGTCCGTGGACGAGCCGGCCGACGCCGAGTCCGGCCACCAGAACTTGTTTGACGCGGCGGCCGCGGCGTCCACGGACGACGTGGCGCCGGACGACGGCTTGGGCGGTATGAGTGAGGAGGGCCAGCTCGCGTTGCTCCGCGAGGCGATCCAGTCGAACCCGGAGTTGCTCCAGCCGTTGCTCGAGCGCATGGCGGCCACGGACCCACAGGCCGCGGCCATGATCGCCGAGGACCCGGAGGGCTTTGTGCACCGCTTCTTGTCGGGCGAGCTCGGCATGGATGTGGACGACGCCGACGGGGGCGACGACCCGGAGGGCGTGGTGCGCGTGGAGTTGTCCGAGCTGGACCAGCAGGCCATTGCACGCTTGTGCGAGTTGGGCTTCGACCGCAACTTGGTGATCCAGGTGTACATGGCGTGCGACAAGAACGAAGAGGTCACGGCGGACATCTTGTTCCGGGACACCTCCGACTAGGGGGGCGTCTTGTTCCGGGACTCCTCGACTAGGGTGGGCGGGCGCATTGGAAGTGTGTGCTGGAGCACAGCCGGGCATTATGCGCGATGATACCACGGGTGGCGTGGGAAGTGAGGAGCATGCGTATCATGAATTGTGGGCCGCAGGGAGTCGTGCCGCAGGGCGTGGCACTGTTGTGTGCCAACGAATGGCATTGTTGTGTGCCAACGAATGGCATTGTTGTGTGCCAACGAATGGCATTGTTGTGTACCAATAGATAGCATGAGCATGGGGGGCCGCGGTTCCGCGGTGCCTGGGCAGCATGTATCGAACCAACGGCACAAGCTAATGTAGCGCCATCTCAGTCTCGTGTGCCCGAGTACGTCTTGTGTGCTTCTGCACGGGACGAGCATTCGTATGGTGTATCCAGACCATTGTGGTGTGCTTCCACGGGGCATGGATAGTGTGCTCTTATACGGGCATTCCGTGCCTATACATGGCCTGGGTATTGTGTATCTATGGATGGTATTACAGAAATGACGTGCGTCGATGAAATACATGGCCTACGGTGGATAGCATGTTTTCGTGGATCCTGACGAGTACTGTCAGTCCATGCCGAAGTAATTCACCCACCGACTGGGTAGTCAAGTATTTAGAGTGATGAATCAAACAGAATCAGATACCGTGATCATTGTCACATAGAGAACATATTCGTGTTGTATTAATGAGTGGCACCGTGCGTGGCAAGCACGAGCATCAGGAAGATGGATAGCTAGAACGAGTACTGACGGACTGATGAAGAACGTATCAACGACGCGTCAATAGCATGTGGATGAATATCACATATCCTGGCACTATCCGGGTGAACGTCGTGTCAATATATGGTGATACCGCATGTAGATAAATAGCACATATCCCGGCACTATACCAGGAGAACGTCGTGTTAGCGGATTATGCTTCCAAAAATATGCCACAAACCTCTGTGTTAACGAACAGCATGGATTTGGACAGTGTGAATGTCGTGTGCAGATGAACAAGTTCACGGTCCACCGATGGAACGCGTGAGATCAATGGCACACATCGTGTATTCTCTGAAAACATGAGCACTTTCTGCCAGTCTAGAGCCCCGATACCGTCCATCAAAGACATCAATGCATCACGCTGTTTGGTGATGCTTCCATACTACTCGTCGTCAAAAGTAGTGATGACGGTGAACACTGCCTTGTCCTGTTCGGAAACAGGCTCGTTCCCGGGCCTGACCACAAGACGGGTGGCCAAACCCGCACTGTGTGCTGCCTTGATTTCGTTGATGTTGTCCGAGTAAAACGTGATGTCCTTTGGCGCAACGCCAATGGCCGAGCTGATGCTGGCGTACGACGCCTGCTCCTGCTTATATCCCGAAGTGGTGATGTCAAAGTATCCCGCAAGCTTGGGCGTGAGGTCAGTCAGGCACCCATTCACATCGACATGAGCAAACAAGAGTTTCTGCGCAGCGACACTGCCCGACGAGTAGATGTACGTTTTGTCCGATCTCTCGAAAAACTCAATGGCGTCCGAATACACTGGCGCCTTCAACTCGCCTTTGGCATAGCCCAGTTTCCATACTTTGCCCTGGAAGGCTTTGAGCACCGGGTCCTTGATGTCGTTGGAGACCAAGTGCGAAATGTGGCTTTTCAACGCTTCTTGCGATTGTTTTGCCTCCGTTGGGAAGCCGCTCAAAATCGCAGACATCTCGTCCCGCTCGCCTGTAATGGGATATTCCATGGTCGAGATTGTCGAGGCGTACGTTTCAAGAAAGTACGGGTAAAGTGTCTCTTTCACGAACGAGATCGAGCACACGGTGCCCTCGATGTCAAGAAGTGCAACCATTTTGCTACTGCTTTTCCGATAGATAAGAGACTACACGAAGGTCGGATGTATGGCCTCAATACTGAGATGAATTCGCAAGCTCAAGAAGGTCAAGAAGAAGTCTTCGTATTTCTGCAAGCAGTGAGCACTCACGTCTGAAGGCCGGGGCTGGGGTCACGTGACACACGTAGTATTCCATGCTTCGGCGTCCGAGTCGACGGCCCTAGGGCTGATCCGCTCTCTTTAGGAGCATTTCTGAGCATCTGCGGGTTGACTCGTGTGTCAACTGATAAAAGCGACGTATCTTGTGGATTCTGTACCTGAAACTGGTGGACCATATCTGGAATATGCAGAGCGTCAAGAAGCTAAATTGGCCCCCGCTGGTGAAATATTCCAGCGAGAGGGCTACATAGAAGATCTTGTTTTCTTTGTCTCCTGTCATCTCAAAATTTTACCGCCTGTCCAGATAGCAATTTTCAGCTTGAGCAGTGTATAGGTAGACTTTGCGATAGCCAGGGCTCATGCCAGATCAGCTCAATAGCGTGCAAGTAGTAGATTGTTGGTTTGATTCTTCGAGCTCAGCGTGACTCGGGCTAGGAAAAAAGGTTTGTTGTTCATGGAATGACACATTTTCGCTCTTTTCGTGATGGCTGAATGCTGTTTATCTCCAGCTAATTCTTCAGGTCAGGACTGTTGCCACCACTTCCGCCAACTCAAGAACTAAATCGTGAACCTTCAATTTTGTCCAGTAGCTGAAAATTGACATTTGTTTCAAAACCATCTGAATCACCAAAACGAAGCCAGAACTACTCTGGTTTCAGGTCACTCACTCGCCGGCCGACCTTCTCATCTATAAAGCGTAAATTACCTCGCCAATATTTCCACCCAACCCCACGGTGGCACGACTTGGCCGGGACCAAACGAACACAAAGTTACCAGACGCTCCTTATCACTTCAAAAAATTCAAGGATTTGTGATTCTTGTTGTGAACCAACATTCCTATAATCAGGGCCGTTTATCAGCGCAGCAAAGAAGCAGGCTCACATGACTAGCGGCGCACCCGTTCGCAGACCTGTTGTGACAAGCTCCAACCCCACAGTAGACTGAGATCCTGAGCTCTGTCCAGCACACCCAATTCATCAGATTTGCTTTCTGCCAAATCCCTAACTTTGTTTTCGACATTCACTCAATCACCTTTCACGTTTCGTTACAAGCACGCAACTGCTATTTCTTGAGTCCTCACTCACTTCCAGCTTATGACGGACTTGCCTTTCGATGGTGATGACTACATCAATGAAAACCACATTCGTGCCTTTGCCCAGGCCCTTGAATTAGACGACCTGGAGGATGTGGAAGACGTGGCCAGCTCGCTTTCCACTGGGCTCTCTCTGCCTGTCATGGCCGACGAGAAATCCATACAAAAAGAGGCCCAGCTACTCAACCAGGTAAATCTACAGCTCAACCTGTCGGAGCTAGCGCCGCTCCTGCTTTCAAAGAAAAAAAGTTTCAGTGCCTCCGACCCGGTATCGTCCAAATCGGGGGGTCTGAAGCCCACCAAAATCGTGTCTAAAAGCGACTGGTTCCCCACCGGCGCCCCTGGGCCCCAAGCCAAGAAAGACCCCAAGACCTCGAGTGCAGAGAGATTCACCAGTGAGTTCCGTGTATCCTCCTCTTACAAAGTGTTCCGCTGGCCCATCCTCTTTCTTATCGGTAGCTGGGTGCTGTTTCTTTGTTTGCTTTATACATGGATCCGGGCGTACGTAGCCCTCCTGGAGTACTTCTTCACCTGGACAGGCGAAAGAAAAAAACTCAGGGATAAGTTGCGCCTGTCAAAAACTTATGATGAGTGGGTGCAAAACGCCAAGGCGCTCGACGAGTTCTTGGGACTCGACAAGTGGTCCGAAAACCCCAAGTTCTCTTACTACGATCACCGCACGCTACTCAAAACCATCCAGCGCCTTCGCCTCTTGCGGCAGAAAAAGGATATCCCCGAGTTGATGGTGTTTTTGCAAGGGTGCATTCGCAAGAACTTCGCGGGCATCGAAAACAGACAGCTCTATTCACACCGATACTTCGGTACGAAAAGAGTCGTGGAGAAATACATTGACGAGGTCGTGAAGTCTATAGACTGTGTTGCCAACGCCTCCGAGGCACAGGTGTCCACAAAAACAAAGCGCAAATTCTTCCGGGTGGTGGAGAAAAACTATGGGAAAACGGCTCTTTGTCTCAGTGGCGGAGCCTGCTTTGCGTACACCCATTTCGGGCTCGTGAAGGCCTTGCTCGATAATGACTTGCTCCCTCGAATCATATCTGGCACTTCCGGCGGAGGTTTGATTGCGGCATTGACGTGTACGCGAACAGACGACGAATTGCAGGAATTGCTTGTTCCCGAGCTAGCCCGCAAAATCACCGCGTGTGAAGACCCCTGGTGGGTCTGGCTCCCACGCTGGTGGAAGACTGGAGCCAGATTCGATGCGGTCAGCTGGGCCCGCAAATCAAATTTCTTCACAAAGGGCTCTATGACATTCCAAGAGGCATACAACACAACCGGGAGACAGCTTAATATTTCCACTGTCCCAGCCGAGCCACATTCGCCTGTCATATTGTGTAACACGGTGACCTCGCCTAACTGTATTATCTGGTCTTCTTTGCTTGCCTCGTCGGCTGTTCCTGGAATCTTGAATCCCGTGGTGTTAATGATGAAAGATACAAAGAATCAAGAGGCGGTTCCATTCAGCATGGGCAACAAATGGAGAGACGGGTCTCTCCGCACAGACATTCCTGTGGACGCCTTAAACACCTACTACAACGTGAACTTCTCCATTGTGTCGCAAGTCAACCCGCATATTTCTCTTTTCTTCTACGCGCCAAAAGGCACCGTCGGTAAACCGGTCGCTATCGCTAGAAGAAAGACAAGACGCCACAAATTTGCTTCCTTACGGGGCGGGTTTTTCGCCACTGCAAGCGAACACTTGTTGAAATTAGAAATCAAAAAATGGCTCGAGATCATCAAATTGCTTGACTTGTTTCCTCGGTGGCTGGCACAAGATTGGCTGAACGTATTTTTGCAAAGATTCACGGGCACCATAACAATTTGGCCACGGAACCGCTTCAAAGATTTCTTGTATATTCTTCTGGATCCCAGCGAAGCCCAAATGGAAGAATACCTCATGAAGGGCCAACGGAGTATGTTCTCTCGCTTGTTGTTTGTCAAGCATAGACTCAGTATTGAAAGAGCCATCGAACGAGGACGCAACGCTACAAGAACACTGAGCGTTTCTTCCAACTCTCAGCAAAGGCAAATGGACTCGCCTTCGCCCATCGTCTCTGACGACAACATCGTTGATGACTTCAAAATCATGAATTTGATTGGTGAGAACGATGAACAATGTACATCGGATACAAGTGAGGATGAGGACGAGAGTGAAGCTGCGGAGAGTGAAGTCAGGGCGAAGCTATTTGAAAACAGCACTGATGAGGCTGAGACGGAACACAATAATTAAAGTAAATCGCTTGGGCTTCTTTGAAACTTCCAGGCTCACAGATCGCTTTTCATTGCCTTGGTGACCCTCGCGTTTAGTTTATTACAATCATCGACCTCGCCCTCGCTCGATATTATGGCATCCGTGTATCGGTAAACAGAGTCCATAGATGTTGCGAGTGCAAGTTTTTCCTCCTCCTTGAAATCAGAGAGAACCCAAGACGCCATCAGCTCTCTGGACGCTTGGGCAGGTTTTGGGCCAATCCCGATACCAAGTTTATATCCGTTGACCGCTTGAGCTTGTAATTCACGCGCGGTCGACTTGATGCCGCCGTGGGATTCGTTCTTCTTAAATTGCTGAAGTTTCACTTTAGGCATGGGAGTCTCGAAATCGTCGTAAATTACAATTACTACGCACTGCCCGAGTTTCTCGCTGTCTAGGAACTTGCGGAGCAGCTTGCCAGATTCGTTCATATAGGCGTTAGATTTAACAAAGTAAATGCTGTCCATCGTTGAAATAGAGTAGACGCCCTTTTTGACAAGTTGCTTGGCCCCAAGGGCGTCCATGAGATTTTTAAGTATGTAATGGCCCACCGAATGCCTAGCCATCTTGCCAGGATTGCCAACAGAAAAAAATACAATGCTGGACATGGTACACAATTCCAACCAAATCAAAAAGAAACAATGGGCACGGGCACAAGCACTTAAGAATGAATGCTAAGCAATAAAATAAAATCAATGTTTCTGCAATGAGATGACTCAGGTCCGTTACATGTAAGCCATTGCATAGCACATGGCAATACACCCATACACCACGCCCTCCATATATTCATGGTGTCTCGTGCATGGATGTATGAGGAAAGCAACGAAATGGCCAAGAACAAGAAAAGCAAAAAGGGAAGTCCCTCAAAAACGATCAAGTCGGCTGGATCTGAAAATGATATGCAAGTGACAAATGCTGGGCGTGAACCTGAGTTGTCACTTCCCTCACACGTGATTGCAAGTCTGGATATGGGCAGTGACATTGATGAAGAGAGAGGAAACATGACCAGTCGTCCCGACATCGTGTCTCTGGGAAATTCAGATGATACAGCCAATCAACAGACCAATGCACAAAAAAACTATGTAAAAGAATTGGACGGATTCAATGAGAAGATGATCAGTCAAGAGAGCCATGTCACAGAACTGCAGGACGCGTCAAGTGACGCTGATGTTCTGGAGCACAATCGCAAACAACACCAAAATAATCTCTTTGAAAAAGCAGAATTAAAAAGAAGTGACGACTTTGAGCTACACCACGACTTGGTGGAAGAAGAAGATGAGGATTTCGGGTCTTTCGATGAAGCCTCGTTTGAAGAAATTGAGCCTACCAACAACGTGTCAGATGAAACATTACTTTATCCTGCCTCATCTGAGGAGCTCAGTTTAACAACATCGAGAATACTGCGGCTTTTAGATTTGATTGTACCCGTTCCCGGAACTAGCGAGCCGGCTGATTGTGCACCCTTGTTGAGCAAGGAGGCTGAGTTACAGTTCAAACACCTCTCAAAACCACCAAGGCTTCAACCTCCTAACTGGACAAAACTGAAGCTCAGGCACAACTTATTGCTTAGGCTCGGTATTCCTATCAATTTAGACGAGTTGGCTCCCAGCGGGGGGTCAGGTGGAGTGAAACATGATATCAATAGAAAGAGTTTAATCTCTGAAAGTGATCTCGATTGGTCTAGGTTCAACATACCCGACATTGAAATTCTTAATCTTACACAAGAGGCTCGGCAAGATCTATTAGGGAAAACTGCTGAAATTCTCACGAAAATAGAGAGGGAGAATATGGAGAACACCTCCGAACTACACTTACAGAGTAGTCTGTCCGAGGCTCTTGAGAGCAAGCTTTCGCAGATGCGCAACAACCACGATCAGTTGCTTATGCTTAGCAGCCTATGGCACGGGAAACTCGAAGATCTCAAGGCAAGTCAAACTGCATACGAGTCGGTGGTGCAGAGCATGGTGGGCTACAATCAAAAAATACAGCGAAATGAATTGCTAGAAAGTCTACGCAGATCCAAAACCAAGCGGGGAAAGAAGACCTTTTAAGAACCTATGCAACGAATTCAATGCTCTTCAGAACTGGAGTGTATGGTTTTTGCATCAAGATACCAACTAGTGCAAATTGAAGAGTCCGCCCAAATCATCGGTCAAAAAATCTTCGTCTTCGACATGCGACTGCAAATTCATGTTGATATATGAGCTATCCACAAAGTTAGTGAACAAGTCTCCAGACATGAGATTGGTGCTGCTCTTCGATGGGAATGCGCCTTGCATAAATGGTGTAGGTGATTGCGCATATTCGTGCTCATTTTTCACTTCAGTGGTGACAGTGGGTGGAGACTGCGCTCTGGAGACAGGGTAGCTGTGCAATGCCATTGGGAATAACTGCGTGGGCTCGAAGTTTTCTAAAAAGTTATTCTCCGGCGCTTGTTTCTCAGTCACCAAGAAGATGTCTTGAAGTGAATGGTTTGAGTTCGGCGTGTTGTCTGTGTTGGAAGAGCATCCCTGCTTGGTATTCTCGGCATTCTTATCCTCTTCGTCCTGCAATTTGCGCTTATACTGACGCACAAGCTGTTCTATTCCCGGGGAGACATTACCATTATCTTGATATGCCGTATGCTCATTATTCAAATGACCCGAGGGATAATTTTTGCTGCCGTCTGGCACCATTGAGGGAGCAGCTTGTCCAGCAGACGGAATCTGGTCAGACATCGCTTCTCTCTTGATGTCGTGCTCTTGGTCGGATTTCCTCTCTTGCATTTCAGCGATAATCGAACCTCTTTTGATAACTTGTGCGCGCTTGATTTTGTCGTTTGCATACTTATCGAAGAGCTTCAAAAGAACTCCCACCACCTGCCAGTACTTGCCCAACTCTTTGAGAACGCTCTTTGAGATGAATAGGGAGTCGGAGGCAGTGGACGCGATGACGGGGTTCGAGGAGTCAACATGATATATGAGCATAATCAACGAGCTGAACAAAACGTACACGAACATCACGGGGCAGTATCCAAGTAGTCCTTTATCGAGTAGGATTTTAGACACGATGGATATCATCCGAGCCGCCTGGAACGAAATGCCCCAGGACGGGTACTTGTAGTTGTTCGGGTTGGTGGAGGAGGACCTGGCCATGCGCAACAAGTTGGCTCTGTGGACCAAGTAGAGGCGGTTGTAGTACTGGGCGTTGAGGAGACAGGCGAAAAAGCTTTGTTTAGAGGGGTCGGTCAACGAGAACTGGAGTTCGGAGGGGAGGTTGTTGAACCAGATGCCCATCAACATGTCGCATCGTTGGATGACCGAGAATTTGTTTGTTCTCTTCATCAGCTCTGCCTTGACGGTGTACTGATGGCTGATGATGAGCCCCGTGATCTCGGCGAGCTTGACCAAGTGCATGAAGTAGAGCGCGTGGGTGAGGTTCACGGGGTACGGCGACACAATCCCGCGCTCCGGGTCGTCCTCGTTGAAGTCATCGAGCGTGAGCATGGGCGCGTCGCTATCGGCAAGGTCTATGGTGGTGGGTCTGCCGAACGCAATGGCCACGTTCCGGTCCTTCTCAAAGAGGCACCACCAGATGCGTCTCCAGATCTTCTTTTCGGAGGCTGCGACCGTGGGCGAGGCGCTGATGTCGCGGTGGAAGCCGAAGCCCTGCGCTAGCCCCACGCCCACGCGGGTCCAGTAGTAGGAGTTGCGCGTGACGTCCTCCGGGCCCTCCCAGAAGGAGCCGATGAGAAGCACGGTCTGCAAGATGGAGACGGGGTCGCTCTCGTAGTTCGTGTCGTACAAGGCCTTGGCGCGGCGGAAAAACGTGAGCGAGGCCAAGTCGCTCAGGTTGTTGCTGTCGAAGAGAAGCGGATTTTTCGACACGCGCGACCCGCAGAGCAAGACCGCGTGGAGAAGCATGAGCGACGGCGAGTCGGCCGGGTCGCTGTACTTGGCCATGAACTCCGTGCGGTTGATCACGGGCATGAGGGGGTGCACGTGCTCGAAGTACAGGTTGACGAGGTCCGCGGCCAAGTCCGCCGCGGGCAACAAGAACGCGCCGCGCAACTTAAGGATCTCGAGCTCCACGGCGTCGAGGTGCAGGCCGCCCGGGTCCTCGAACAAGTCGTGCGCTAGCTCGAGGTGGTTCTGGCCCACCTTCTGGGCCATGAGCCGGATGCTGGAATGGCCCACGAAGGTCACGGAGGAGCGGCCCTCGCCCGGCGCGGGCTCGGGGTTGTGAGGCGACGGCCGGCTCCTGAAGCCCGACGTCAACGACGGGGGCACGGCCACCTGCGAGATGTTGTGGATGGGATCCGAGACAGGAGCGTGCTCTGCAAGCGTGGGCTTCGGACGCGGCGCCGCGGGCGTCTCCCGGGTATACGGGGCGTGCTGCGGCGTGCCTTGGGCCGCCGCGTCCCTGGCAGGCGGCTTGTGCGGGGGCTTCTCGCCGCCGCTGGCGTGGCCTTTCCGCTTGTTCTCTGGAAGCAAGCACTCGCACCCGAACGTGATGCAGTTGGTGCACGGGAGGCGGATTTCCGCGTCGCAGCGGACCTTGCGGGCACGGCACACGGTGCAAGCCCGCGAGCCGCGGGGGCGCTTGTACTTGATGGTGTAGGCCTTGGGGCGGTCGGCTGTTTTCGCGGCGCTGTCGGAAGAGGCGTCCATGGCGGGCGCGTTTTTCTTTTTTCTGCCGTGGGCTTGGGGTGTGTTTGTGTTTGGCAGCTGCCGCCGGTGCTGTGGGTGTTTTGCCGGTGTTGGTTGTGTGTTTTGCCGGTGCTGGTCGTGTTTTTGACCGGTGCTGGTTGTATTTTTGGCCGGTGTTTATTGTTCTCAGGGCAGGCCTGGGTGTTGGGGCCGCCAGACAGTGGGGAGACCCGCGTGCCAAAAGTTAGGGCCACGCGCTAGAATCGCACGCTGCGGACGACGCTGGTTGTGCAATCGGATCGCCGGGCTCGGGGCAGAGTGTCGGCGTGCTGCAAGAAACGGGGGTCCGGGGCTGGCAACTGGTGGAAAACAATGGAGATGCGGGAGCCATGGAAGGTGGGGAAGCTTTGTCCGGGGCCTACGGGGCAGGACGCTCTGGAGGAAATAAGCTACAGGGCAGTGGGCCGCGCGGCGCCATGCAGGCGTCGGCCCGGCTGGGTGTCGACGGGGCGGGCCAGTTGCGAGCGGTGCGGCCCACTGGCTGCCTTCTCCGGCCCGGCTGCCTTCTCCGGCCCAGCTGGGTGTGCTCCTTCTTCCTCTGCTTCGTTGTGCAATCATTTCTTTGATCTCCGATCTTCTTTTCTTCCTCCGATTTTTTTTCTTTCTCCGATTTTTTTTCTTTCTCCGACCTTCTTTTCTTTCTTCGATCTTCTTTTCTTTCTTCGATCTTGTCTTAGTTCCCCGGTCTTTTTTTCTGTCTGCTGTCTTCTGTCTTTTCTATTCTTACACCTGTGGTTAGCGCCTCCATATATCCTCATATTGCACAGGGCCTCGGGTTTATTCCCCTGGGATTGGCGCGCAGCAATCGCCGGGCGGTGTGCGCGTGGCCGCTCTAAAAAACCCTAACGCTAGGCGAGCTGAGTAATCCGCGGCCGCCCCGGGTCTGACCCGGCTATGGCGCGGCCTTTTGCTTTCCGTGGGTGCACACGGCTTGGTGGGTGCTTGCTTGTTTATGGATGGACGGGCTTTTGATACGAGCTCGTCTGTCCATGGTTGTTATGGTTGTTCATGGTTGTTTATGATCTTGTCACTTCTTGTCACTTCGTGTCTGTTTGTGTTCTTGTCATTCTTGTTCTTGTCGTTCTTGGTCTTGTCATTCTTGTTCTTGTCATTCTTGGTCTTGTCATTCTTGTTCTTGTCGTTCTTGGTCTTGTCATTCTTGTTCTTGTCGTTCTTGGTCTTGTCATTCTTGTTCTTGTCGTTCTTGTTCTTTCTTGGTCTTGTCATTCTTGGTCTTGTCATTCTTGGTCTTGTAAATCTTGTTCCTGTTCTTCTACTTCTTGTTCTTCTACTTCTTGTTCTTGTTCCTGTATGCTCCCGTTCGGTCTGCTCTGGATGCTCCTGTTCTCCTGTTTCTCTTGTTTGTTCCTTTTGTTCATTCTGGATCTTCTTTGAGCGTTGGGTCGCCGGTTCTGCACCGGCCCCCGTGTTTCGGTGCCCTCGCTCCCTAATATCCCTTTTGTTGTTTTCTCGAGTTAGTAAATCCCGCCCGAGCCCCAGATTGTCATCCTTCCATGCCCTCCTGCGTTTACCCCACGCGACCTGCCGGGGCGCGCGCTTATTGTACTTTCTTGTATATAAGAAGCTGTCGGCACGGGATTAATAGACTGCCTGGTGTTGCACCGCGCAGTCTTGATCACTGCGCTGAGCCGGGATTGCTAGATTGCACTGTTCTACTGTATTAGAGCTGTAGAGTGTACTGAAACTGTAATAAGATTCAAGGTGTATTATTGTACTGGAGCTGTATCACTGTATTGAAATTGCAAGACTAAAGTGTGTTCCTCTACTAAATTGCCTACTGGAACTGTAGTAATGAAGTGGAATCGTATTGATGTACTGGCACTGTAATACTAGATTAAGACTATATTACTGTACTTCAGATGTAAGGCGGTACTAGAACTGTATTGATGTATTGAAATTGTAAGACTGTATGGAAATTGTAAGACTGTATGGAAATTGTATTACTGTATGGAAATTGTAATACTGAACTGGAACTGTATTGATGTACTGGAACTGTAATACTAGATTAAGACTATACTGTGCTTAAACGTAAGACAGTACTGGAATTGTATTCCTGTATTGAAACTTTAAAAATGTACCAGAACTGTAACACAATTGAAACCGTATTACTGAAATGAAACCGTATTAATGTAATGTAATACTAGATTGAAACTATATTACTGTACTGGGGCTGTAGGATAGTCCTGGTACTGTATTACTGTGTTGAAATTATAAGACTGTATTGAAACTGTATTACTATACTTCGCCGTCAGACAGTACCGAAACTATAATCCTGCTCTGGAACTGTAGTCTGCACTGGAACTGCAATCTGTACTGGAATTGTGTTACTTCGCTGATTCGGCCATACTGCCTCAAGACGAACCACTACCTCAAGCTTGTGGCTCTGAGAGAGAATCCAAGCACCGCAGCAAGTCGCAGCGTCACGTGCCTGGGTCTCTGGCCGCACCTTGAGCCTGATTACTGGCCCCACCAAAAGCCTTGCCGTCCGATATTAGATACAAACGTGGCCCGATGCTGAAAACGCTTTTTCACATAGTCAGGACCTGTGGATTTCTGCTGGGGCGGCACTTTTGCCCTGATATGGACCGTGGCCGTTTGAGCCTCAGTGCATGTATCAACTGGCGCATGCTGTGCAGGCCTCCATCTCTATCTAGCCCACCCGGCTAATTTAAACTCGGCATCATTTGTCAAGCTGGATAGAAATACCACTGGCCAGCATTTCATTTGAAGCTCTCTTGCAGCTTCTGGTTATAAAGCCCGCCAAATTGCACGCGTCTTGCTCAGTGAAAAGAATGTTGCGAAACACCGACTTATTAGCCTCGCTACCAGTTCTTTACAAATTACACATCAGTTAACTGACCAAGTTAAATACCAGATGTATGCATGGCCCTTTGAGGAGGAATATGGATCAGAGCGCCCCCTTTGAACATCCCAAAAAGGCAACCACCGTGTCTTTCCTCCGCTGTTTCAATTCGCCGACCAATCTAGCCTATTTGTCAAGTACTAAAACTGCCCTGCCCCACCCATGCATCCATCGCGCTCATCTCATATGAGTCTATCCAGTGCAAGCCGAAAAACCCGCCAATCGTGAAGAAAAAAAAAAAAAAAAAACATTCCCCAAGACAAGCCGCAAGCCAAGAACACCCCTTTTTTCTCGCTGGGACTTTCCGGCAATTGTGGATCTAGAAGAGAGCGGCTGCCCGTCCCTCACTTCAGTCTCTGTCCTGCGCCTCGCCGTGCGCAGGGCTCGCCGGCAGATCCACCAGATTCTCACATCTGTCAAGGTCCCCGGAAAGCCCACCAGCCGGCACCATGCAGGAGGCCCGGACGGGAAGAAAACGAGCAAACATCGTGTGGTTTGGACAAGCAAGCGGAATACTCACCCACTCGCATTTTCTTTTTCGGTAGCTTCACAAAGGGGAGTAGACTGGTACCCGAACACGTCTCAATCTCGGATACCTATTGTAGTGTCGCAGGGCCGCAGTCAGCACGCGCAGCCATAAAATCATCAACACCTCATGCTGACTTGGTTCAGTGCCCGGCAATGGGCCGCGGCGTCGGCGCTTTTGGTCTTCGTGGGCTATGAAATCTGGAGCCACAAACGCACGGGCAACCGGCGGCTCACGCTTCTCCGGCCCAAGACAAAGGGCGTGGCCTCGCTCATCGGGAACACGCCCATGGTCGAAATCGAGTCGCTCTCGAAACTCACCGGATGCAAGATCTACGCCAAGTTGGAGCTCATGAATCCCGCGGGCTCCGCCAAGGACCGCGTGGCGCTAGCCATCATCAGAGAAAACGAGCGCTTGGGCAAGTTGAGGCCGCATAACGGGGACATCATCTACGAGGGCACTTCGGGCTCCACGGGGATATCGTTCACCGTGCTTGCCAATGCGCTCGGATACATCGCACACATCTGTCTTCCGTCGGACACGTCGCCCGAAAAAATACAGCTCTTGCGCTCCTTGGGAGCGGAAGTCGAGCCCGTCAAGCCTGCCCCCATCGTAGACCCCAAGCAGTACACGAATGCGGCGAGAAGAGGGGCCCAGGAAGTGAACGAGGACATATCGAACGGCAAGAACGCCATTTTCGCGGACCAGTTCGAGAACGACTTCAACTGGCGCATCCACTACACCACTACCGGGCCGGAGATCTGGGAGCAGGTGGACCACGACCTAGACTACTTCGTCACAGGTTCGGGCACCGGCGGCACCATTGCGGGCGTGTCCAAGTACCTCAAGCAGCAGAGCAGCAAGGTGCAGGTGGTGCTTGCCGACCCCCAAGGCTCGGGCTTGGCGAACAGAATCAATTACGGCGTTATGTACGATTCCGTGGAGAAAGAGGGCGGCCGTAGAAGACACCAGGTCGACACCATGGTGGAGGGCATCGGCTTGAACCGCCTCACGTGGAACTTCCAACAAGGCGAGAACAACATCGACGAGGCCATCCGAGTGACAGATGACCAGGCGGTGAAAATGGCCAAGTTCTTGTGTGTCAACGACGGGCTCTTCTGGGGCCTGTCTGCCGCGGTGAATTGCGTGGCGGCTGTCCAACTTGCATTGAAGCAAGGACCCGGTAAGAAAATCGTCGTCATCGCGTGCGACTCGGGCGACAGGCACCTTCTGAAATTCTGGAAGTCCGCAGCCGACGTGCCTGCCACGGTGTCGTTGCACGACATTGTGCAATAGAGTACATGGAGGGGCACCCCCAGAACAATGGTCGGCGCATTGAAAGGGAGCCCGAAACCACCGTCGCACATGCTTTCAGCCGGCGGTCAACAAAGCTTTCTTTTTTTCTCTGAATAGCTTGGCCGAGCTGAACAACGCCGCGCTGATACCCATCCAGATCTGGACCGTGTCGAAGTGGAGCTGGGCATTGAAAACGGTGTACGAGTTGAACACAATGTCTGACACGAGCTTGTACATGTCCAACTTGGCATTGGTGATCCTGAACTGGATGTCCTTGAGCGCCTGTGCATCTCGTGCATCCTCGTCCGAAGGCGAAGCGTTGGTCTGCAACGAATTGGCCCCGAGAACCTGCCTCGAAAGAGTGCGCGACCGCTTCTTGACCTGGATCGAAATCTTCATGTCAAACTCCTGCTGTGCTAGCCCTTGCAAGTTGTTGTACGCGTTATATAGCCCAAACCAAGAATCGCAGTACCATGCGTACGACTCGTGGTGCGCCGCAAAAACCCTCAATCTTTTGTTGCTCAAGAACTTGACCTTGTACAACATGCCGATGTCGTCGTTGAGGCTGTAGTATAGGGCAATGCTGTCGCCGAGCGTGGACTTGTTGAAGAACTTATCGCTGATTCTCCAGGAATGGTCCCTGGAGTCCCTGTACATGTGCTTCCTCACTTTGTCGAATAGGCCGTGGAACCTGAACGGCGACTTCCCGAAACGCAAGAGCTTTCTGTAGAGCCCCAACGCAGGGACAAAGCCCGAAAGCCGCGACGTGAACACGGAGCATGTGAGAATCACCAACACCTTCGCGAACGCCCGGGGATTTTTAATGAAGTTGACAAGGAGGTCCCACGCTTTTTTGTTGCTGGCGTAGGTGGCGCTAATCAGCTTGATGTTGACCACGTCGTCGCTGAGAAAAGTCTGTGTTTTTCGGGCGTGGTACAACAACAAGCGCAACGAGTACTGCGAGAGTTTGGCCATTTTGTCCTTACCGGTGAGATCATTGAGCATGGCCCAGAGCACGTCGATGGACGAGATGTCTCTTTTAGCAATGCCCGCGGCGGGGCCCTTCGACAATGGTTTTGGCTGGCTTGCCATGACCGATGCTGTGGGGTGGCTAGTTGACACCAAGGTGCCGGTTTTCCCCGGCGTATGTACGGCTCCATTTTCAAGGGACGATTTGCCGGCAATTCTGGATGGCGTCGGCGTTTCCTCTAGAAGGTGTGTGGTGTCTGGAGCCATTTTGGCCATGGAAGGAGAAGCAACAGAATTCATTAAGGCTCGGGGCGGGTTGTTTTCGCCCCACTCGGAAGTTAGTTGCAACGGCGAGCTGGAGAGTTGTTTATAGTATAAGGAATGTGTACCAAGCGGCCCTGTGGGATTGGTGTGATCAAAGGCAAAATGAAGATTATGGTTGCGCAGGGACGGAACAGACTCCATGTTCTATGTATTACGATGCGCTACACTGACCGGGAGCCGCGTAAGGGGAGCGCAGGCAAAAAGCTATGAGGGGAGAGTGAGGGCCGGATCTCAATGACCGTTTGTGTGGAGCGTGTTGTTGCTTTGCCTGGCGTCGTGTCAGAGTGGTTCAACAAGATTGGATTTTCCAAGACCTTGTGACCCGAGGCTTACGCCCTGGAGCCGTCCTGTCTGGATGTTGATTGAGGAGGAAACAGCGCGGGGCCTGCACACACCGCGCGGTGTGGGCTGCCGATGGGCAGGAACTGCAACGTGCCATTTGGCATACCGCGAACATAGACGTGCTGGTCTACGCAAGCCATCCGACTCTGAGTACGTGCGGTGTTCATTGAGCTACTTTCGCTCCATTCGGGCTCTTGTGCCCTGTATGTATTTGAAGCGGGCGAAACGTCGACGGCCCTACGGCCGGTGTTGGTGTTCTTCCCCGCTGGATCCGAGCCAGACTTGATATCCTGCGCACGGGCCTCTTGCTGGCGAAAGCCTCACTGCACTCGGGCGTTTTCGATAAATAACTTGGGCAGGTTAGGCCTAGACCCATGGCGGTTCCAATCCAGGCCCGGCCTTTCAGATGAGTTCCATATGGGCTGAGATCGTCATTGCCGTGGTGAGCTAGGGCCGAGGTCCTGGGGATCCAATAATTTGCAATCATGAGGCAAGTATGGCGCTGAGCGAAAAAAGCCATTTACCAAGCACCCTGTCTCTCAGGCCCGCAAGAATGAGCTGATTCTGGAGATGCCCTGGAGATGTCCTTCCATACTTCTGCCGTACAGGCCCGCAAGAATGAGCTGATTCTGAAAGTGTCCTTCCATACTTCCTTCGTGGCCAGGTTCTTCCCCGTAGTCTTGCCAAAGCGTAAAACCCGCCAAACCCTCAAGTCCATTCGTATCCTCCCCCGTCTCTCTCCTACCCCGCTGTTCTTTAAGGTGTAGCGGAGAGCGGACAAAACAGGCTGTTTCAACACACTCACGTAATGCACAGTACAGAAGCCTCTCAATCTGCCGCGCCGGGCGAGTGTGGTTCCACTCCGTTGGGGCCCATTATGAACGCACCCACACTGCCCAAATAGCCTTCGTGCCGGAGGAAGTACGACTGCATCTCGCCGTTCGACCAGAAGTTCAGGGCATAGCTCAACGTGTGGATCGTCTGCATGTGGCCCGAGATGTAGCTGCCGCCGAAATAGATGCGCTTGAGCCCGAAGCGGCACGCCTGCAAGTATGCGATCTGGCCGATGTTGTTGGACACCAGGTACAAGAGCGAGCGGGCAATGTCCTCCTGGCGGAAATGCGCGAGCTTTTCTGCGGTGGAGAGCTTCTTGCCCAGCTTGTTGAAGCGGAGCTTCTTGAAGACTTTGGCGAACGACGAGGCAATGTGGTTCGACTTGAGTCCGATCTTGTTGTAGCTGGTCCCGTAGATGTCTCCCACAAGCAAGTCGATGTTCTCGTTGTCGCCCTTCTGGGCCATTTCGAGCATCTCGTTGTAGTCGGACGCGTCGGTCAAGAGCAGGAGAAGCCCCCAGAGCGTGCCGCCGCCGAGCGACGAGCCACCGATTCTTTCGAACCCTTCGGGCCCCGGCCCCGTGACCTTGACCATGGACACCCCCGAGCCGATGTTGACGAGGAGGTACGGGTAGATGTCCTGCTCCGTGACGGGCGGGTTGTTGAAGCGGATGTTGTCCTCGGCCAAGTCGTAGGTGAAGATCTCGTGCGGGATCTTGGTGATGAGCCAGTCAAGGCCCTTGATGAGACACTCCATCTCGTCCTTCTTGACGATCTGCATGGGCAAGCCGTTCTTCTTGAACGCCGACGTCATCAACTTGGAGAACTTGTGCGCGCCGCCGCCCGTGGAGATGATGTACGTGATGGGCGGGCCGTGCTTCTTGCCCATGCTGTCGCGCACCAAGCGGATCATGAACTGGAGCGCCTCGGTCTCGAAGGCGCCCGTCTGGAAGTCCTGGAAATGTAGCTTGCCGCCGTTCTTGGCGCCCTTCACGGACAGCGACGTGAAGTACACGAGTTTCGTCAACGTGCCGCCAATGTCCACGGAGATGTGGATGACCTCGGAGTTGTGGCGCGGGAGCGTGATGTTAGCGCTTTTCGAGTCCTTGGCCGGGCTGCCGGGCGCGGAGAACACCGTGGTTTCATCCTCGTCGGACGACAGCGACTCGTCCGAAGTCACTGGCGACGGCGTGGGGGTGGCCAGTAGGGACGCGTTGCCCCTGATGAGGTGGTCGTTGGCGATGTACGCGCCGGAGCAGTCGATGCGGATGGTGCCGGCGGGGATGCGCCGCAAGTCCATCTCGTCGTATTTGCGGGACACCATCAGGGGGGGTGGGGGTGGTATTGTTGAAAAGAGGGTGCAGGTTCGGGACACGGTCCGGATTCAGGGGGACGCAGGCCAGGTTTGTCGCGGGACTCCGGGGTTTGCAAACACGCTCGGCAGTGGAGGTGAGGATTTGTTGGATTTGTTGGATTGCCGGATTTTCCAGTTTTGTCGGGTTTGCCAGTTTTGTCGGGTTTGCCAGTTTTGTCGGGTTTGCCAGTTTTGTCGGGTTT